AGAGAGACCGAGAGAGAAGAGAGAGAGAGAGAGAGAGAGAGAGAGGAGATGAGAGAGGAGAGGAGAGAGAAGAGAGGAGGAGAGAGAGAGAGGAGAGAGAGAGAGAGGAGCCGATCATTGTTACTGGCCATGCGCCCGATTCCGCTGCAGCCAAATCGATTCCGAGTCTATTTCACGTCGTGTCGGATCCACGTCGACGCCAACTCAAAGTACATGTCACGACAGCAAAACTAGCGGCCATATGAATTCACTCCATTGCGGATAAGCGGTGGACGAAAAAGACGCTGGCGAATTCTTTTTATTTCCCGTCTAATACCTGCTGACCAATAGACAAGCCTCCGTAGCAAGCACAAATAGCACGCAGCAGCATCTTCAAAACTTTGAGCTGAAGGTAACACAATATCCGTTGGATCAGAATGGGGCCAACTTAAGGAACAGGCTGTGTATTCAAGTGAATTAAAACGACTTAATTATGATTACGCGATGGTCCGGTCAATTTAGATGCATTTTGAACGAATTTCGGTAACGAACCTTGCTCACAGATCCGAAAAGTACATACATTAGATCTCTGTATTTTTCGAATCAAATATAATCGAAAAATGTTTTTTTCAGTCTTGGCCACGCCAACCAATGCACACAAGTTTTCAGTTGCCTTGAGCACATTTGTATTGCAGTAGTCAGCTGCCTTGAATGCAAAATGAGGCCGATAACGGAGAATTGCGACAAAGACCTTCGAACGCTGCGCCATGCAGGTATGAGAGCACCTCAACGTGACCCAGACCCGAGGCTCGGCCGTGATATCAGACGTCCATCGTGGTCAAAACCAGTTTCGCAGCAGCATAAGACATCATAGGACAAAAAAAAGATATCACATGAGTTAGCGAAATGACTGAAATGAATGAAATGAAATGAAATGAATGATGAAAATGAAATGAAAAAAAGAAGAAATGAAATAAAGTGAAAAACTTCCCACGCGTTTGACAAAGACAAATTTTGATCGGTAGGCCCAATTCGCTTTCTGTCATCCAGCACGTCATCATCTGCGACCTGAGCCTGGGTGCGGTCATCAGCATGGCAGGGGTAATACCATGGATGGCCCGCTGAGCAGGTCATCAACGGACCTGAGCCATGGTACGGTCAGCAACATGGCAAGAGCAATACCATGGATAGCCATGTGGGCAGGTCATCAACGGACCTGAGCCACGGTACGGTCAGCGACATGGCAGGGGCAATACCATGGATAGCCATGTGGGCAGGTCATCAACGGACCTGAGCCATGGCACGGTCATCAACATGACAGCAGGGGTAATACCATGGATAGCCCGCTGGGCATGTCATCAACGAGAGACGAGGCTGCAGCTACCCGACTGTTTGTGACCCACGCCACAGCTGAGCTTCAAAGCCCGACGGCCAAAGGGCCCACGGTCTCGTTCAGCGCGCACTACTCTACACCCTGTTTTGCTCGGCTTGGCTCGGCTCGGCTCGGCTCAGACTGTTTCCGCAAACCCCACGGTACGCCCGCAATTCGCAGATCGAAGGCAATCCAGTTACGTGGACCCGAGGAGGGTTGGCATGAGTTCTGAACAGTTCTGCACACAAATACCTTCAGAAGGAAAAACAGGGTCCTTCTGTGCAGCAGCTCCGGCTCCGGCTCCAGCTCCGGGGGTTCCGTCCCACTAGACCCTAAAGACATCAGCGCACGCTCATATGGAGCACATTTTCGAGAAGCTGCAGAGCTGGCTTAGTCACGTTGGTGAAGTTTGCTGCACACCCCTCTGAGAGAGGAGGACACCTGTTCCGGAGCTCCCAGCGCACCACTTAACACCTGTGTCGACTACGCAATGGTACCGTGCCAGCGGTCACGTGACTAAAGCGTGCTGATTACACGGTGCATGCCTATCTACAGCGGTAGAGCCATCAACAGCTATATAATAGTAACGGAACCAATGTACGAATAAACGGCCCGACGGGGCCATAGGGCGAATGACAGTGATTTGGGTCCAGGGTAAGCCAACAGCTGCGCGGCTCTGCGGCGCCCGTAGCACGCCCACGCCTTCGGGGCGCTTCTAAGAAAAGGCCATTACCGGGCGGCCCGAGTGCGCCAATCAACGGCCGGCCATTTGCGAGCGTCAGGGTGATTGGTACACGGCCACCTGCGGCTGGGAGCGTGCCGAGCATGCCGACCGTGTCGCCGCGCGCGACCGGTCGCACCCGACGCGGCGCGTCCGCCCGCGCCGAGCCGTCGCGGCGGATCTGGCCTTCACGAGCGGCCCCTCAGCTGACCCCGAGTCAAGGGGAGACCGCCGTCCACGCAGCGGGAGGGGGGGGGGGGGGGGGCACCGCGCCGCCGGCGGCCCAACCATCGCGCCATGTTCGTCGGGGGACGGGGACGGGCGCGGGACGTGGACGTGGACGTGGATGTAGACGTGGACGTGGACGGGGACGTGGACGGGATCGGTCCCGCCACCTGCTGGACTCAGGGCTCCCACTCTGACTCTGCGTCTCACCGTTTCAGCGGCTGCACGTCCTCGACGCCGCCCGACTTGGACTCCTCGGCCAATCGCATCGCCAGCTCATAGTCGCGCAGCTCCTGCTCGCGCTGCTCCCGGCGCTGCTCGTTCTCCTGCAGGCGCGGGGGTCCCGATGCGCTCACTCGGCTCGCCCGTGTCATGTGCGCCTCGTGCGTGCGGCACAAGACTGCAGCACCGCCAGTGATCAACCGGGGCGCGTCGCGTGACGTGACAGGTTCAACACGGTCTGGACTCGACTGTACTGCGGCCAACACGTGATAGTGGAGTGAAACAATATCCCCGTCAAAAACAGCAGTCTGAGAATGAGTAGCTCGTCGAACGTGCATAACTTCCGATAGTTCCCTGTTTCAAAACCTAGTGCCAGTAAACAAGGACAGTAAGATGACGGTCCCGAAATCTCGCGTTCGGAGCTGTCGAACTCAAACGGCACGACCAATCGCCCAGCACTCAACAATAAACCCGACCGCGGTCGGAACTGCAAGCGCCTCTGCTTTGACGCTCCTCTGACCCCGTTCTCCTGACCTCGCTCCGTATATCTGACTAACCAGCTGCTCCTGCTCCATCTGCTTCTGCAGGCGCGCAGCCTCCTGGCGGTCGGCCTCCTCCTTGCGACGGCGCAGCTCCTCGTCCTGCTTGCGGCGCGCCTCGATCTCCTGGCGCTGGCGCCTGTTCTCCTCCTCCTCGCGCGCGCGGCGCTCCTCCTCCTCCTTGCGCCGGCGCTCGCGGTCCATCTGCTCCTGGATGAGCCGCAGCCGCTCCTGCTCCTCAGCCACCTTCTGCTGCTCCAGCTTAGCCTTGAGGCCGCGGAACTCACGCGCCAGCGTCTCCGTCAGGCCGGCCACCTCCTTCTCCACCTGCCAGAGGAACGAGGTCAGGTCAGGCTCCTCCATTCGCAGCCGGGGACGGGTCGGGTCTGCACGGCCACCGTCCTCTCCACCTCCCGCAGAGGGCGGGCTGGACCGGATCCAGGCAGACCTTCTAGCACTGTTTGAACGCTTCTCATGAAGAAGTCAGCTATCTACACAACAGATGATCAGACCTTGGACGAACCAGCTTTGTTAAAGTGTCGTGCGGTCGAAAAAAGAGCATACCCGGCACTGCCTGAATAGCTAGTTGCGAAACCAATGTCGGATGTCAATGACAGTGATTGGATGATACGTTTATGAGCATGCACCTGAGATCCAGAGAGATCTCTGATTTCTGAGATCAGATCTCTCCAGGATCTCTGATCTCCGCACAGACGGATCCAGGAGATCTCTGCTCGACACGGCCCTGAGCCCAGGGACGCCAACGAAAACCATGCGAAACACATTTCAATTGGATATTGATAACGCAGCAGTGATAGCCTTATTGCTCGTAGAGTAACCAGAAAAATGGGGAGATTAATACACCCATCACTCCATTCTCCTGGTTATCGGACGAAGAATAAGTTATTAGTAATGTCTTATTTGTGCGCATAATGTTAATTAAAAATACACTTAACAATACCCATAAGCTATTGTTAAAAGACAACGCGACGCATGCCATCGCGCACCCTTTTATGGAGCACCAGCGACCGTGCCAGCGCTAAGAGCCGTAGCAAACAGGATTCGAAGCTGGGCCTCTCGCGTGGGAGCCCGAGGGGCTTACCGCTCGGCCATCACGCCCCTGAACACATGAAGCAAAACAAAAAGACAACAGCACTTGAAGTGTTGGTGACACAACCCGTGAATCACATCGCACGACTAACATACACTTAAATCACACCGCACCACTAACACACACTTAATGACACCGCACCACAAACATTTATATGACACCGCACCACTAATAAACGCCAAAATCGCATCCCACCACTGACATAAGCCGAAATCACACTGCACCGCTAACATACAGCGAAGTCCCATCGCACGCCACTAGCACAACTGCCTGACTTGCGCTCGCATTATGCACGGTGATCTGGTCCGATTCCGAGCGACACGCGAGCGGGGCCGGTGGCGGCCGGCTAGTATTATCAGCGGGGTGAAGGCCGAGGTAAGGAGTTCGAGCAATCGGCCAGCGGGGCAAAAGTCGACAGCTCGAGCTCCCAATCTCGCCGCGCGTCCCACCCGACGGTGCGCGGTCACACGAGGCACACGACCGCAGGAGCGACCCCCCGCGCGCTTGACGGCATACCTCTGCCTTGGACATTCTCTGGGAGCGAATCCTCTTGAGCACTTTCTCGAAGGATGCCTGCAACTGCTGCACCTGCTTGGCCGACGCCTCGCGGTCTTTCTTCATCTTGGCCACCATCTCCGACATCTGGGTGAGCGTGGCCTGCAGGCCCTTCACCTGTCGATGTCGCGAGATGACGGGTGGGACCGTCACCGAAGCGGCGCACCGACCCGCACGCTCAATCCGCCACACCACGTGGTCTCCGACCGACGGGGGACAGCACTGATCTAACACCTCACCTAGTCGAAGCAGAATATTGGGGAGATATCCACTCGATAACGAACATCCTAACAGCGATTAAGAGCCGCAGCTGAGTCACAACCTCACGTCAGTTGCCCGACCAACGAACAGCTGGGCTGGACCCGTTTGGATTATCAATAAGCAACCACGGTTTTGCCGAGAATTTTCAGCTGTTCCCCGCATTTGGTGCTCTGAGACATCACGAAACTGGCCGCCGTCCCACGCGACGAGCCGCCGGCCCGAGGGCTGTACGCCATCCGAGCAGCCTGATTCAGAGCGGCGGGCATCTGCCACTGAAAGCCCTCTCGAAACTGGCCATGACCTGGGACACCCAAGTTGTCACCGCCGGCGCCTCGCGCCGAAGAAATCCCCGAGCCACACCCCGGTTCGGGTCCCGACCTCACACGACCGAGGTGGCACGGACGCGACTGCCACCAGCCGCGTGGCGCCTGGCACGAGCGTGCCGGCGGCACCGGCGGACCGACCTGTAGCGCCGCCTGGTAGCGGTGCCGGTGGTGCTTGCGGGCCAGGTAGCCGCGAGCCTGGCTCTGCAGCAGCACCAGGTGGGCGCGCCGGTACTGGATCTTGTTGCGCAGCTTGATGACGGAGAGCGCGCACCACTGCGCCTTCTTCCAGCGCGAGACGATCAGCCACTTGCGCACGCGCGCTACCAGCGCCGCCAGGTTCTCCGGGTCCGACTTCATGATCTGGTCGAACTCGGCGAACTTGCCCGGTCGGAAGAATAGCTTCGTCATGCCGAACTTGAAGTCGTGCTCGTTGAGCCCCAGCGCGTGCAGCAGCAGCTGTGGACGGAGAGGGGGGGGGGGGGCGGTCAGACGGCTGCTGCCGAGCACAACACACGTGACACAGCGAGACGGAGGTAAGGTGGGTCCGACCGGGTCAGTCAGTGGCACCGCGGGCCGAGACGGTGCCGCGGTGGCAGCCTCTCCGTGCCGTCCGGTACTGCGGCACCCACCGTCAGTCGTGCGTCGCATACGCCGCGGCCAATCCTCGCGCCGCCGGCCCCGAAACGAGCAGCCCGCTTCCGCAGAAAGGGGACCCGCCAGACACGCTTTCAGCGGATGCCAGCGACGGCCCTGCTGCGCTGCCTTCGCGTCCGCCGACGCCTGCGCGTTGTCCTACCTTACAGAACATGCGCGGGTCCAGTCTGGCCAGCTCTTTCGGCAGGTACTTGGTGTACATGGCGTACAGCTCGTTGAAGGGGGCGCGTGACGGGTAGCCCTGCTGCATCAGCTCCAGCACGCTTGTCATGCCGGAGCACTGCAGCTGCGACAGGATCTGACCGCCCTCGAACAGGCCGTCCACCATCTTGGGGTTGGGCTTGATGCAGCGGATGAAGTTGGTGCCCTGGCGGCGGGCAGCGCCGTCGGTCAGGAGGCCGGCGATCACACAGGAGTCGGCGCCCCACACTCATCGGCGGTCCTGTCTAAATCGGGCTGACCGATCGCAGCCTGGCAAGTCGCGTGGAGCCTTTCGCCAACAAGCCAACACATGGTCACGGGATGGCGATGACGCCCAGGCGGCCTGGCGACGCGCCAACACCAAGCTCGTCTTGGTCGCCAGGGCGCCTCGGTCCGCTCCAAACCACCGCAGCGGTCACAGCACACCGGCCGCCTGAGCGTCACGCGGACGCCGGCGTCATCCCTCCCCCGGCCCCGCTCCGGACGGACCCCGATGAGGAGCCGTCCGCTCCCGGGCGCACCGCCGGCGCCGGCTGGCGCACTCACCGTCGACGTCAGCTTGTCCATCAGGTCGGAGAGCTGCTGCTTGAACTTGGAGCCGACCGAGCCGAGTGACAGCTTGCCGCGGGTGACCGCCTTCCTGCGAGAGCGGCCGCCGGGCAGCGTCAGCCCGGCCGCTCGTCGCAGACCGGCCGGCCGCCAGGCGGCGCTCGCCTCTGCGCCCTCCCAAAACGCGCCGCTGCCCCACCCCCGTCCTCCGACTGAACGCGTCCTCTAGTCTGCTGTTAGCAGCTCACTGATAAACGGAATCGCTTTCTTCACCACCTTCGTATCCCACCATCTCCCCCCTCGGCACCGTTCTCACCGGCGTGGTCATGTTTTGTGCGCCATACCCCACGCCATGAGCGGCCGCCGGCACAGCGCGGGGTGGGGCCGAGGCGTGCCAACACTCCCCACTCACCCATTGCTGGCCTGACTGGCGAACAGGGCCTGCAGGAAGCCGTTGTGTGACTCGTGGATAAGCGCCTCCAATGAGCCGTGCAGCGCGTCGTTGTTCTTCTCCAGGAACTTGTCCTGCGGGCGGATGTCCCCGAGTCACGGGTGGTAGCACCGGCACGGGTGGCAGCACCGGTGCCCGCCGCCCGCACAGCGCCGGCGCTCCGGAACACCGCAGCCACACCAACATGTCGCGCGGCGACAGAGGACCGTCGGGCGGCGCTCACCAGCGCCACACACGCCGACCCGCCAGGGACGGCCGCGGACGAGCGGCGTCAGGCCGCCGACCGACAGAGGACGACGCACAGAAGCGCGGACGGCCCCGCAGCGCCTGTGGTGCGACGCGGCGCGGCGCGTGCTTCACCCACCGTCTGGTAGCAGACGGCGCCGGCGAAGTGGCGCACGAGGAAGCCCTCGTCGTCGCGGATCTCGCGGTGGTCGCGCAGCTTGGACTTGCGCGGCAGCGCCAGGCGGAACGAGCCGCCGCAGCCGCTGTGCACCGACTGCGTGAAGTGCACGTACGACGGCTTGGGCAGCTTCGACTCCTCGTCCAGCAGGTAGAGGATGCCGCCCTTCGACTCGATCAGATCTGCGGCGCGCGGGTGGGCGGCGGGTGGTGAGGTCGGACGGCCGAGTGGGCGGTGGACGGTGAGGGCGGGTGGTGAAGGAGGGCGGGGCGGGTGGGCGGTGGATGGTGAGGGCGGGTGGTGAAGGAGGGCGGGCGGGTGGGCGGTGGATGGTGAGGGCGGGTGGTGAAGGAGGGCGGGCGGGCGGGCGGGCGGGCGGCGGGTGATGAGGGAGGGCAGGCGGGTGGGCGGAGGGTGGTGAGGGAGGGTGATGAGGGAGGGCAGGCGGGTGGGCGGAGGGTGGTGAGGGCGGACCGGCGCCGCGACCGGGACGATGTGCGACACACAGCCGGGGAAGTCATGGGTCCGAGCCATGTGACTCCGGCGCACAGGATATCACCATCATAAGCCGTGAGACTGCGTCATAAAAGTCAGGCAAACTGACTCAAATCGAATGCAGTTGAGGACGCGGACGTGAAGAACACTGATATAAATCGGGTGTGATAACAGCGGGCGATCCACGCCCGATTCCGGATAGCGCTGGCGATCTCTCGCACCAAACCACCTGTCACAATGACGGGCAAGTCTTCCACCAGACAGCGCTGGCGATCTCTCGCACCAAACCACCTGTCACACTGATGGGCAAGTCTTCCACCGGACAGCGCTGGCGATCTCCCGCACCAAACCACTTGTCACAATGACGGGCAAGTCTTCCACCCAAGCACCTCCGGCCTTTGCAGCGTCATCGACACCCACCAATGGCATCCTGGTTGTCGACGTAGCTGATCTTCTTGACGCCCAGACCTTCCTTCTCGTACAGCGTCTGTTCGTCTCGCAGGATGCGCTGGTTGAAGAACTGCTGCAGCTTCTCGTTGCAGTAGTTGATGCAGAACTGCTCGAAACTGTTGATGGTGAAGTATTCTGGAAGAGGACGTTCTGAAGTGGTGAACACCTTACAGAGAACCTAGCTCGTCACCAGCATCACCTTGAAGTGAACTTGTTGGCGCCCGAAACATGACAGCCTCGATAATGCTCCAAACACAAGCCCATTACTATTGATGCACACAAATTTCCACACTATGTCTTGTGAGTGAAAATAGCGTCCGTGTCCTGTTCATCTGTGGTCATAAACTACGTCACGGCCTTTGTGAGACGCTACAAACAGCTGGGCTTGAGGGTCATGAGCAGTCTTAGCATTCCCGAGTGGGATTGGCCAGCGATGGATGACAACTCGCCCTACCAGCGACTGTCCAAATATCTCAATCGGCTTTAGAGAACACATATCGTCAAAGACGAAGGCACAGTATGATGGCGGGAGCGAAAAATCGACAGACATCACAACAGACCAAGGCGCAGCGACTTTGTTTCGGTGGCTGTTCTCCCGAGCTGATGAAATATGTGCACACATAGCAGGGCGACAACGTACATGGCGGTATGCGCACAGACTATGAACCCGTGCGGGCCGACAAGCCAGACGACCCCGATACGCTATCGTCAGCGCCTCGACATTCCAAGCCATCCCCAAACAAGCACACAGACAGTTGCAAGGTAAACAATAAAACGCCAACGGGTGACCTATCTTTTCTAGACACACCGGCACAGGCCACGACCAGCCCCCACGCCCACCACATCACGGGACCACGCCCACCCCCGCGGAGATCCCTCTCCTCAAGCCCTTCCCCATCGAATGCAGGACCACGGCCATGCGCGCGGACATCCCTCTCCTCAAGCTCCTCCCCATCGAATGCAGGACCACGCCCATGCGCGCGGACATCCCTCTCCTCAAGCCTCTCCCCATCGACCGTAGGACTACGCCCATGCGCGCGGACATCCCTCTCCTCAAGCCCCTCCCCATCGACCGCAGGACTTCGCCCACCCCCGCGGAGTTAACTCTCCTCAAGCCCCTCTCCATCGACTACAGGACCACGGCCACCCCCGTGGAGATCCCTCTCCCCAAGCTCCTCCCCATCGACTTTCATGGGGAGTGCGGTCCGCTCCGGCCACGCGCACGTCAGAGCAGCGGCCCTCACCGAAGCCGGCGATGTCCAGCACGCCGATGTAGTAGCTGGACGAGCTGAACGGGATGCTCTGGTTGATGCGGAACACGATGTAGTCGAAGAGGCGCGAGTAGATGCCCTTGGCCAGCGCGTCCCGGGCGTTGTGCGCCTCGTGCGTCTTCAGCGGCACCCTGTTGGCGGAGGACGACTAGTCATCGCACGCTACCGGGCCAGGACGGAAAGACCTGCGGGCGTGCCGATCCATGGAACGGAAAACAAGTGCATCATCGAACGTGGTGCCGCGATTTTGAACCAGAAGCAAACGGGTCCAGCGTTGTTTCGTCTCAGCGTTGGTCAAATGACAAATAATGTCGGCACTTTTTAGCGATTTCAGGGCACTTCCGTGCGCAAAAGATGAATCGTAGCTTCCTTGCATCAGCGGTAGTTTTGTACTGGTACCGTCGATTCGATGGTAGCATCGGATAAGGATGTGTCTAGAATAGAGACCGCGTGACTGAACAGCCCGAGGGAGGGGGAGGGGGGGGGGGAGAGGGGGCATCGGAGGTGCATGTGACACACCATAGCGCATCACACGTGCAGGTGATGCTTTCATAGACACCAAATCCCCATCAATCCGCATTTCACATGCATCCATGCAGCATGTCAACACTACCGTAATCTTGCATCAGTCAAGATAGGCAGGCGGCAACACTGGCTGCATTCCGGCCGGCTAAAGCTGCCGGCTGCGCCCAGACGCAGCGCGGACTCCCCGGGAGCCGGGCGCGCGCCGTCCGGTTCTCACATGATGACAGTGCCCTTGGCGCCACCCTTGCTGGTCTGCATGACCCGCGACAGCAGCGCCTGGTTCAGTTCGTCCGGGTCCACGCCCAGCAGCGCCGCCGCTGACGCCAGCGCCTTCTCCGACGACGGCGACACCATGCAGCCACCTGGCGGACGGGGGGTGCACCTGAACTGCGACCGACGGCGACATGAGGCGCCACACGCGCCGGCTCCCGCACGCGGGCGTGCACTGAATCCAGCAGGCGAGGCGAGGCGTGAGCGGCGGGCCATTGTGCGACGGGCGGCGGAACGAATCAGCGTCACGCGGCGCCGCGCGGACGCCGCGCTCGCCCGAGCCGGCGGCGAACGGCCGAGCAGGCGACACGCATCGTACAACACACGAAGGGTTGGGTTGGGAAAGGGTTGTTGACAACCTTGATGACGCAATCAGACTGAAATCCTTCAACACACGGTTCTTTGATAGAAAAACAGGAACAGAGCTCATTCCTGTGAGTTTTCCTGATTTGAATGGCGTTCTAATTCCTCGAACCTGTCGAAGCACGTTCACCCATCCAGACGTCACGCACGCGACGGTCGAAGGCCAGCCGCCGTTCGTAACAGACGCACAGCCAAAACTCAGCGCACTGCGACACACCTTTCCTGTCCTCGGGGTTGTCCTCGAAGGCGACGTTGCCCAGGTGGAGAACGGCAGCGACCGTGGTGTAGATGGCCAGCCGCTCCTGGTCGGCCAGACCGACGGTCGCCAGAGCCTGCGGCCGGCGACGGCCGTCAGCAGGGAATACAGACGGACGCACCACGCCACCGGCAACACTGGCGCGCCCACGGGGGACCGGCGCGTCACACGCAGAACGCACTTCTGGCGGCAGTGATGTCATGGCAGTGAAGGACACACACAACGCATCCGAAGGAGGCACGGAGGCAGCCGCATGATGCGATTCAGCGATCAGCGTACACCAGCGACCGGTGTACACCAGTGACCGGTGTTGCTCGCACCTTTCACGGCGCAGCCAATGGAAGACACGAAATACACATGTCGGACATTTCGACAAAACCGCACCGCCTATGCACGGGCAGCCCACCCTACAGCTGCATGCTGCCCCCGCACCCGCCGGACCGAGCCCCGTGACCGGAGCTTGGTGGTGCCCGCCGGCCCCTGCACACATCGGATCGGCCCTGTAATCGGAACTCGGTCGGCGCCGGCCGCCCACGCACCTTGTCCAGCTGCGTGAAGTTCTTGGCGTCGTCCAACATGGGGTCGTTCAGCGGACCCTTCTTGCGGTGGTCGGCGCTCTGACGGTCCGTGTGTATGGCCGCCTGGGTGTCCTTTTGGGCGAAGTACTGGGTGCAGCCGAAGCGCGTGTACTGCGGCACAGCAGCGGGTGCCGCTTCAGGCGCGGGCCGGATCGACCGGGGCTTATGCAAGGCGCGTCTGGACAGCGGTGACTCATGCGAGGCGTGAGGCAGCGTTTGTGGGTACGACTGGAGCCCTTTGGACCCGGCTGACCCTTATCAACGCTGATTACACGCTTATCAGCATGCATATTTCAACGCGCGGGACGCGCGGGGAAATGAGACGGTACTTAGTGATGGCACACGGGACTGGGAATTTCCACACAAATCGCACGGCCAGGGATGGGACTAAATTCGACACATCTGGAATAGATTATAACAAGTGACTACGCCTGTGATGGAGCGCGCCCCCTGTCTGAATTACCGTTCATGGAACTGGCGGACCAGTGTCGACCTGACATAGAAGCCACCAGAACCAGCGAGCACCTCACCTGGAAGTCGTCGGGACTGGTGAGTCGCAGCTGCCGCCGCAGCGCCTCCGGAGCGCCGGCGCACAGCTGGTAGAAGATGTGGTAGTTGCGTTCCTCGCGGCCCTGGCCTACGATCCGCGACCGCTCCAGCAGGTAGTGCGAAATGTAGCCGCCCACCACCGACATGCGGTCGTTGAAGTGGATCTCGATGAACTTGCCGAAGCGGGACGAGTTGTTGTTGCGGGTGGTCTTGGCGTTGCCGAACGCCTCCAGGATCGGATTAGCTGCCGAGCGGGGGCGCGTGCAGCGAGCGTCACGTCACACAAGTTCACACGACGCACCAGAACATTTCGAACCAGTCAGGTGGCGCCGTAAAATGCTACAGAGTCGCTATTTGTGAAGCGCTTCCACTCATACGTCGGGCCGCATACCCGATCATGACACAACGTCTGAGACTCCACGGCATCGTCGCGGCGCCGTCCCACACGCTGAGCGCCGTCCGTCCCCGCCGCGCCGCTCCGCCGGCTCCGACAGCCACTCGCTCCCAGCGCCCGCTCAGCGCCGACCGCCGCCGACCGCTGGCGGCGCCGGCCGCGCCGCGGGCGTTACCTTGCAGGATGCGCGCCTCAATCTCGCCGGCGGCGCTGCCCCACGACTTGCACAGGTAGCGCAGGATGTACTTGGTCGACTCGGTCTTGCCTGCGCCGCTCTCGCCCGAGACCACCACGCTCTGCGACTTGCGCAGCACCTTCATGTCACGGAACGCCTTGTCGGCTGCGGCGATGGGCGCACAGTGGGGTGGAGTTAGCCGCGGGCCCTCACACGGGCTCTATGCACGGCGGGCGTCATCACGGGCGGGATCGGAAATACGCCGAGCACGGTCACGCTCCACTGGTGTTATGGCAGAGCGACGGGTGTGGGCTTTGGGTGGAATTACAGTGGGCCCGAAACAGGGGTCAAATAAGTTCTTCGATAACACGACACGGCAGAAATTCGTCACGTCATCTCGCGCCGACCACCGAAGACGTTGCAACAGAGCCGACTTCAGTACACGGCACAAACACAGTATCTCCATGGAGGCGGACAGTTTAGCCTTGCCGCCACTGTCCTGGTGACCGGTCGGCATCGGGCCGCAGGCGGCGGCGGCGCGGCAGGCTCGCTCCCGCGCCGCTCCCCAGCCGAGGCGGCGTCTCCACGCGCAGCGCTCACCGATGGCGAACACGTGCGGCGGCAGCGTGCCGAGCGACTTGCCCTGGTACTGCTTGATCACGTCCGGTGAGTACAACTGACGCATCTCCTTGTACGGGTTCACAGCCAGCAGAATGTTGGCCACGTATATCTGCAACGGAGCGGATCGCGCTGGCTGACAGAGGCGCCATGAAGCCTTCTGCCGCTTTCCACGGACACGCCTCCTGTCTCGGCGTAGGGCCACGTGAAGTTAGGCCCATTTGGAAGCGGCACGTGGAATCACGTTCACGAAACCTAAAGCGATGTCAAATGCCCGTAAACCTCCTGACCGTAAAGTCACTGATAGAGTGGAAACCGCTTCAATAAGCGCGGGCACGAAATACCGGATATGGCAAGAGGCAGCATACGCTTGGGGGATGTGGCTGAGCCGAGATGGGCATTAATGGTCGGCATAATAACCTACTGTGATAGAACTGAGGCAGTCAAATGCAACTGATCCCGAAAACCAATACCGAATGGGCTCTATCGTAGTGATTATGTAACGCCTACTAGACTCACGGCAACCCATGCACTAACCCCGTCCTGTCAAAACATTACAGGTCAGCGATGACAGACCTAGGTGTACCGGCAATACTGGGGAGTTAGACCCTCGCCCTGATAGAGGAAGGGGTCGATGCGGCCAACGAAGGTTTTCTGAGGATAGCTCTACGGCAAGTCGTGAAATCGCGCCGAAATTCGCGTTAGCCTATGGGGCATTCATTGCGCGTGATTCAACATCAAAAATGCGTCTCTAGCCCATCTGGTTTCCGAGCGGACGTTTTTATGAACCCTGCACGGCGATTCCGGGCGGCGACAACCGACGAATCCGGGCGGGGACAACCGACGATTCCGGGCGGGGACAACCTACGATTCCGGGCGGGGACAACCGACGATTCCGGGCGGGGATAACCGACGATTCCGGGCGGCGACAACCGACGAATCCGGGCGGTGACAACCGACGAATCCGAGCGGGAGCAACCGACGATTCCGCGCGGGGGATAACCGACAAATCCGGGCGGGGGATAACCGACGAATCCGGGCGGCGACAACCGACGAATCCGGGCGGGGACAACCGACGATTCCGTGCGGGGGATAACCGACGAATCCGGGCGGGGGATAACCGACGATTCCGTGCGGGGACAACCGACGAATATGGGCGGGGACAACTGACGAATCCGCCGCGGGGGACAGCCGACGAATCCGCCGATGGCCGGTGACAAGCCGACATTGTTACATTGACGGAACCCTACATCATAGACTCAAGCTCAACACACATCAAACTAGACACAAATATGCTCAAATAAAACAAAGAACATGCCTGTGTGATGTTACTGCCGCTACGTGGCGTGGTTTCGTAAAGCTGGGCAAGCGAAGCCGAAAAATCCGATTTTTGAGGAACATCGACTGCTTCTTTTCCGCAAGGCTCTATCGTACTTAGATCCCCTCCCCCCCCCCCCCCTCAGTTGGCGCAAAGAAAAAGGGCAAATCACTACGGTAGTGAAAAACACGAGCATTGTCCACCTATTGAAAAACGAAATGATCAAACTGGCCTGACGGTTCTGACAACATGAGCAGACAGTGTTTGGGCAATTTCATCAGATTCATCCCGTTGACCTCTGAAGGCTGTCGTCCGTCGCAGCTCCGGACGCTGACGATACCATCTGCAGAACATCAACCGGGCCCGAGAGCCAGCATCAAGTGCATCAAGACTGCATGGACCATTAGCCATACGCTGATATAACCTGACTTTACACCTCCCCTACAGATTCTATGATTACGAATGACAACTTGCAGGACTGTAAGTCTTCGATCATTCCACGAAACAATTTTCAACCCGACACAGGCGAGGCGACCACAGGAAATGCTCATATCCGGCAATGCACCCAGCGCGCCTGACAACTGCGTGCGCTCGTCCAGCGCCGCCGCCGACCGCTAGCCGCCCGCGGCGTGCGAACCGCACGGTCAGCGTCGGCCAGCGCTGACCGCAGTCGCGGCCCGCACACGGCGAGTACCGTCCGCTGAAGATGTCACCGGCCCAGCCGCGGCCGAAGTGACGCCGCCCACTGACGGACGCATCGGCCTCGACCGCGGCCTGCGGTCACCAGTCTGCGGCTCCACGCAACACCCTCCGCTGCCGACGTCTGCGGCTCTGCACAACACCCTCCGCTGTCGACGTCTGTCTGCGGCTCCACGCAACACCTTCCGCTGTCGACGTCTGCGGCTCCGCACGACACCTTCTGCTGTCGACGTCTGTTTGCGGCTCTACACAACACCTCCCGCTGTCGACGTCTGTCTGCGGCTCTACACAACACCTTCCGCTGTCGACGTCTGTCTGCGGCTCTACACAACACCTTCCGCTGTCGACGTCTGTCTGCGGCTCCACGCAACACCTCCCGCTGTCGACGTCTGCGGCTCTACGCAACACCTCCCGCTGTCGACGTCTGCAGCTCTGCACGACACCTTCCGCTGTCGACGCACTAACGCTGTCGTGAGATCTATGAGATCTGGCCCGATCTGAGATCGCGAGCCTTGCTTTTACGTCCTACGACGTCGAGGTCATGTGGCGAGTTTTTCGATTAGGTGGGAGGGGCCAAGGCGACGTGCCATTTACGGACGTCAGATGCTGCCGACGTAAGTTACAAGTAGCCGCGACACGCAACGGACGTGTGGGTCCGCTGGCTCCCGGTGCGGCGTCTGGCGTGCCGCCCCCTCCATTCTCTCCCCCCCCCCCCATCCCTCCAACACCGCGCGCCGAGGTCAGCGCCCAGGCCCGCCGGAGGCTGGCCGGATGCGGCCGCGTCGGTATCAAAGCCAGCGGCGATACGGCCGCGTGCCGGGCTGATAAAGCATCCGACCCGGGCCGTGGCGCCGGCGACAGCGCGGTACACCGCCCGTTTACCCACCCACCCGCAATCAGACCGGCACAGCGCCGGCCGACGTCGATAACTTCCGTCGCGTGACTTGTCGTCGCAGCGTGGGCGATGACAGCCAGCTCCCATTAACGTCACCGAAAAAGCCGGCCCGCTCGGCCAGGAGAGTTGACTGCGGCTGACGCCGGCGCGTTCCCAGCCCGCTCCCGCCATCGCGGGTGATTCCTCACGGCGCGCGGCCGACCGTTGCGAGCGCGAGCGGCGGCTTCGGGCGGCGATTCTGCGCGGACACGGCTCCGGACACGGCTCACGGCTCCGGTCACGGCTTCGGATACGGCTCCCGGCTCCGGACAAGGCTCACGGCTCCGGATACGGCTGCGGACACGGCTCTCGGCTGCGGACACGGCTCGCGGCTCCGGATACGGCTCATTGCTCCGGACACGGCTCCGGACACGGTTCCGGTCACGGCTCCGGTCACGGCTCTTGACACGGCCCCGGACGCGGCTCCGGTCACGGCTCCGAACACGGCTCCGGTCACGTCTCCGAACACGGTTCCGGACAAGGCTCCGAACACGGCTCCGGTCATGGCTGCGGACCCGGCTCCGGACACGGCTCTGGTCACGGCTCCGAACAAGGCTCCGAACACGGCTCCGGTCAAGGCTCCGGACACGGCTCCCGGATCCGGACACGGCTCGCGACTCCGGACACGGTTCATTGTTCCGGACACGGCTCCGGGCACGGCTCTTGACACGGCTCCGGTCACGGCTCCGAACACGGCTCAGGTCACGGCTCCGGACACGGCTCCGAACACGGCTCCGGACACGGCTCCGGTCACGGCTCCGAACACGGCTCCGGTCACGGCTCCGAACACGGCTCCGGTCACGGCTCCGAACACGGCTCCGGTCACGGCTCCGGACACGTCTCCGAATACGGCTCCGGTCACGGCTCCGAACACGGCTCCGGTCACGGCTCCGGACACGGCTCCGAACACGGCTCCGGACACGGCTCCGGTCACGGCTCCGAACATGGCTCCGGTCAAGGCTCCGGACACGGCTCCGGTCACGGTTCCGGACACGGCTCCGGACACGGCTCCGAACACGGCTCCGGTCAAGGCTCCGGACGCGGCCCCGGGCACGCTCCGGACACGGCTCCGGACACGGCTCACGGCTTCGGACATGGCTTACGGCTCCGAACGCGGCTCCGGTCGCTCGTCACCTGGTGAGTGACGAACGCGCCGGCCGCCAGACAGTCCAGATAACCACTGGTGCATGACCGGCCGGCCAGCCCGACTGCGGTCGCTCCCTCTGCCGGACTCCAGCCAGTGCCCCGACCCTCCGACCCCGCTCCAGCTGCCCCCTCTGCTAGTTCCCCGACCCCGGTCACAGTCAGGCCGTCGGGAGTTCCCCGCTTTGCGCGAGCTTGCTGGTGTTGCTGGCCGACTGCGTGACACCCCATCCCAGGGCCGGGTTGCCACAACTACGGCCAGTGCATGTGTCGGTGCCGGCCAGACTGCCGTTGTCCGACCAGTCCATCCCGTGTGCGAACTGTCGCCCACTTCCTGGCTGCGAGTCGGTCGCCTTGCTGCCCCTGTCGGTCCGTCATATACCTCCTGACCCCAGCCACTATGCGATGTATCCCTTGACACCGGTCGATACGCCAGCTACTCCGTGACCCCTATCACTCTGTTAGACACCATGTGACCAATGTCAGTGCATCAGACATCCTGCAACGCAACCGAGTCTGCCGGACACTCTATGACCACAGCCGGTCTGTGAGGCATGCTCCCATCGCTCCCCCCACACCCAGACCATCGCCTGCCGCCTCTGCCAAGGCCGGCGACCACGCCACGCTCGTCCCCGCCGGCAACACTCACGTAGATGCAGTCGCGCTGGTAGCGAAGCCGTACGTTGTTGAGCAGTGTGGCTTCGTTCAGGTGCATCAGAGCGCCTGTCGACACGGCAGCGAAGCGTCAGCCCGGGTCCGGGTGAGTCAGCGGACCGGCGGGGCGGGGGGAGGGGTGGTCTCGGACGCCGGCCGGCCGCCTCCCACAGTCTGACCCCCCCCCCCCGGGGGGGGGGGCGTCACCGGGCGATATGACGGTACGTCACGGCCCGCCGACAGGCACTCGACGGCTTGGCAGGCGCTGACCGGCTCTGCAGGAGGCGGTAACCGAGCACCGGTCACTCCTTCCACGACACGACATCAGCTTCGCATGCTATCGGGCGGCTGCGGCCGGCTTTCCGATCAGAACGCGGATCACACTGGCTCGTGGGCACAGACCAGCGGAGCAGACACAGACACAGACAAAGACACAGACGACGGCTCCGTGAGGAACCCATGGCACCAAACCGCACGAGACTCACGCATATTGGCATGCTGCTTGCAAGATAGTGTAGTCCGTTACACAGACTTTCGTGTGCAAACGTGATATGTTAAGGGAGCTCGTGTGCGCTTTTCTACACCAGAATTTCTGGCCGGCTTAACATCGGTCTGCTGGGCTGGGAAAGGTGAGAACGCCAACTACATAAATACACATTTTTGGTGTTCACTGAGCCAACATCTCTTGACATTGGCCTTCCATAGCATATCGCCCATTAACCTGACATCAACAAATAAATACAATGTTGTTGAATCCTACCTAACTACTGCGGAAGGTCAGCAGGATGCTCTGAGCTCGCTTTCCCTGCCATCTCCAGTCGATGCACGCGCACTAAACGGGCACGCAACATACAAGTAAATGTCAGTACATGGTAAGCTCGCAACCAAAAATGTTGATTCCGCAACAGACGTTGCGTCGTTACAAGGCACATCAGTCGTTACAAGGCACACTCGCGCCAATCAAGGTCCGCGGTCGTGTCTTTGCGACGCGTGACGACAGCCGCCTGTACCACCACCCTGCCGCGGTACTGGCCGGCGTCGTCGCTCGCGGCACGCTCCCACCGTCTCTGGCAGCCGCAAACAGGTCCGCCGGCCGGACAAGCCCGGCTCCGGCGTCGAGGAACCAGGAGCCCGGCGGGCAGACGAGCCCGGCTCCGGCGCCGAGGAACCAGAAGCCCGGCGGGTGGACGAGCCCGGCTCCGGTGCCGAGGAACCAGGAGCCCGGCGGGCAGACGAGCCCGGCTCCGGCGCCGAGGAACCAGGAGCCCGGCGGGCAGACGAGCCCGGCTACGGCGCCGAGGAACTAGGAGCCCCGTGGACAGACGAGCTCGGCTCCGGCGCCGAGGAACCAGGAACCCGGTGGGCAGACGAGCTCGGCTCCCACGCCGAGGAACCAGGAGCCCGGTGGACAGACGAGCCCGGCTCCGACGCCGAGGAACCAGGAGCCCGGTGGGCAGACGAACCCGGCTCCGGCGCTGAGGAACCAGGAGCCCCGTGGGCAGACGAGCTCGGCTCCGGCGCCGAGGAACCAGGAACCCGGTGGGCAGACGAGCTCGGCTCGCATGCCGAGGAACCAGGAGCCCGGTGGGCGGACGAGCCCAGCTCCGGCGCCGAGGAACCAGGAGCCCGGCGGGCGGCCCCATCGCAGAGCGCACCGCACGTGTGCGGCCGCCGCCCACATTTCAGGCCAAAGCTGCGGGAAGGGTTGAGTATATAGTACTCAAGGCCAGGGGTCATGCTCCACCCCCGCCCTCGCAGCCAAAGGTCGGCGGTCACCACTCGCACGGCACGGGTGGAAACACTGCTGACCGGTTCGCGAGGTCGCAGAGGTCGGCGCAGGCGTCGGAAGCCAGCAAACCGGATCTGAATAGCTGAGGTGAGTCGAATATGAACGTTGTTTGGGGTTCAGGAGGCGTGAAATGGCTACCACTTGTGAGAAGAGAAGGTGTTTACAACTAATGATAGCTACTGCGAACCATTAGCTATGGTATACGACTGGCTTGCGGAATTGCTTAGCCAGGGAATCACCCTACAAGCCTAAAAGATGGTGCCGTAACCTTCAGTAAAAGAGCGACCGCTCGCCCGCTGCACGACGGGGCGACGACGCGAGATACGACCCAATCCAGATAACGGGCGATAGGCCACAAGGTCCGCGACGCGACGCCCGCGGAGTCATTGCCAGCCCCACCGGCAGACTCGCCGCTGTTTGCTCACAACGGCGGTTGTCGGGGGGGGGGGGCCTATACCCCAGCAGTGATCCGGCCGCAGTGAGGTCAACCAGAGGTACCTCCGCGGCGTCCGCCGCTGCCATCTGGCGGCGACGGCCGGGACACGCCGGCTGAACAGGTGGCCAGCCGGCCGGAACGGTAATCGGCCATTTCCTCCGGCGCGGCCGGGCATCCCTTGCGCCGCGTTCGCCACCCACGCTCCTCCCGCGCCATGCGCGCGCCTCCGCTCGCTCCCGAGGCGGCGCCGGCCGGCGAATGAGCCGCCGTAGCCGGGGGTCGGTCGCCAGCGGCGGCAGGCGACGATCCGGCGGGCGCCACCCTCGCCGCGGTCCTGCCCCGCATCCGGCTCGTCACGCCCCTCGATGGCGTCGGACGCCCACTGGCGCCCGGCCACAGCCCACCGCGGCTCCATGCGACAGGCCGCTGCCCAGGGACGGGCGCCGCAGACTGGCAGCGAGTCGAGACGGGAGCGCGGAGCCCGACACGCCATCGTGTCCGGCGGCGCACCGCTCGCTTTTGTCGTAACGCAGAGCAAAGTAGAGCCGGTGACAACGCCAGGACCGGCACATTTCTGGGGATGTATAACCGCTGTGGTCTATACAATAAGCACGGCGGGCTTCTCGTACCAATCCAACGTCGTCATGGCAGTGAAATTCGCGGTGCACGGAGCCTGAACGCGGATCTCACGATCACGAACACGGTACGCCCCCAACCGCCAGACTTTCGCTTCAGGCAGCACGAACGGCGCGGCGCCGTGCTACCGTGCGAAAACGCGGTCACCCCGTGACCTCCAGCAGTCTCGGTTTCGCGCCCACGGACATTGTCGTACGCGGCACGACGCGACTGGCCAATCAGAAGGCTTTCCTGAGTTTCGAGGCCAGACGGCAGGACACTGCGCTGCCGAGCACTTCACCCTGTCAACGTCCGAGTGGCTGGGGCGTCCCCCAAGCACTCCAGTCGTATCAGCCTGCCCCCCCCCCCCCCCCCCCCTGTGACGGCAGGACAACGGTCAATATTCGACGAGGTCTGATCACGGCCTGTGGCAGCGTAATCTCACAACCCGCAGTGCAGGGGAGAGGGAGGGGCGGATGGTCGCCCCGCCCCGGTGCATAGGGCGAGCCGGGGCTGGGATCAGGCACAGGCGGTCTTACGACTGCTGACGGCGCCTCCGCCACCTGTCTCCACAAGTCAGCGCTGCTTGGTGGCCATCTGATTCGACCCTGGTAACCCGGCCTTCAGGGATCAGCATCGAACAGATCAAAGCCACAGCGAACTCGCCCATGCCGTCAATCCGCCCAACAAAGCCACAGCGAACTCGCCCATGCCGCCAATCCGCCCAACAAAGCCACAGCGAACTCGCCCATGCCGCCAATCCGCCCAACAGCGAAGTGTTCTGATCAAATGTCCCGATATGTTAGAAAGTATTTCCTCGCCCTGGCTTAAAGGCTACGACAACACGTCCTCGCCCCGACAGCGCGCCGCGTCGCACCTGACGCACAGCGACACGCACGGTTCCAGCGCTCCCCACCCGCGCGCAGCGTAGACACCAGGCTCTGCGGACTCCGATTCCCAACACGTGCGAGTCGCAAGGAGAGTCCGGGACCCGGTCCCGCGCGGCGCGCGCACTCTCGGCGCGGCGGCCGACCCGACCTGACCCGAGTCCGGCCGGGGCCGGCGCCGGCGACCGTGACGCTGCGCCGCGCCGCCGCCGCCACAGCGAAGCGGCCGCGGCCGACCGCTAACGGTGCGCCGCGCCAGCTGCGTCAGGCGGCCGCCGACGTCGCCACGCGACACCGGGCCGGTCGAGCACGTCACGGCACCGGGCGCGCGGCGGGAGGCCAACCCAACACGCCGCGGCGCTCGCCGGCGGCGCGGGACCGACGCAGAACAGCTGCTGACCCTGGCTGCCTGGAGGACCACTGCCACCAGCCGGGTGGCTTTGCAGACACAAGAACGACCGAAACCCAATTCGTCTCACGCACAGCTTGCTACACGCACCATTGAGCGCTATTCCTTCGTGCTCGGGCGATGGGCCATGCAGCGCACAAACAGCTGCAAGCCTCCCCACCTGGCAGTGACCGCCAGTCCTGACTTCCATCCCCGTGGCGGGGTGCGCCGGCGGCCGACTCCCGTGCGGTCGGGGCTGGCGCGGCCGTGCGTCGACGGCCGCCCCCCCCCCCCCCGTGCGCGTGGCGCGCGCTCCGGCCGGGCCGTCACGCCGCCGCGCCATATGGCCGGCCGGGCGGGCCGTTCACCCGGTGCCGCGGTTCACCTCTGGCCCGGCCGGCGCCGGCACCGCCGCCCGCGCGCCGCCGCCCGCACACGCCGCACTCAGCACGGGAGCGCGGCGGCCAGCCCGGGAGCGCAGACTCCGTGCCAGGCACGGCAACAGACCAGCACGCTGGCAAGTACCAGGGACGCGATGGACCAAATCACGGAGGGAGGCCGGCGGAATTCAGCCCAAGCGCACTGCATTGGCGTCGCATTAGCGGAGCAGCATGCAACACATGCAAAACAACGAGCGCCGTTTGCCTCAGATTCCAAGCGTCCCTCGTCTGGACTCGTGTTGCGTGCATACTGGACTCAGCTCTCCCCCCAGCACAGGCATGCCGGCCAAGCAGGCCCCTCGGCACGATCAGCGGCGGAGGACTGGGCCAGCCACGGGTATTTCCGCTGTGACAGCTGTTCCAAGCCAGCGATTAGTTTTTGCTCGCGTACGATTTAGCGTGGGGCGTTCTCAAGGTCCGACCAGACGCTTGGCGTGAGGGAGAGGGAGGGAGGAGAGGGAAAAACCAGCTCTCCATTACGAAGCACTGCCAGAGAAGTTTTGGTTAGTGCCACGGGCTGGCCTAAATCAAGATCGGAGCAATGTCCAAACGCGACGCGCACTTCTCAGACCACATGTCGTCCTCCTACTTCCTGAAGCGATCCTGATCCCTCTCAGACGACCTGAGCCTTCGCGCTTTGCCGCTGCTTGATCGATTGGCACATGCTGGCGGGCCGGAGCCGTCATGAATGTGGCCCGCGAGACCATCTGCTCCCTGGGCCGCCGCTGACGGCGCCGTCCGGCCACATCTGGCAGGCAGGCGGAGTTGGCAGCTCCGGCCTCGCGCGCCTGTACCTGGGGCTTGCGCTCAGCACTCCGCACCATTGGACTGAGATTGCTCACACTCCTGGCAATAGCAACAATGAGAGCGACGGCGATACCTTAGACTTTGCACGACGCCTGAGACAGTTCTTCACGTGTCTGTGACGAGGTTCTTGCATACACCGCACGATAAGCTGGATGCTCGCATAAATGTATTCACGGCAGCATACTCGCTAGCCACGGCTGGCCGTTTTGCGGACGCCATCGCATCGTGCTCCGCCGCTGTATCATCACACAATAGGCGCGCCTAGTTAGAGCTGCTGCGGAAATCAACGACGTCAGAGCCGGTGTTTCCTGCCGTTTACACGACTCCACGACTCCGCCGCTCGGAGCTTCTGCAGTCCGGAATAACAACAGATCCACCGGGGCGGGCCAGTGGAAACGCACGGCTCAGTCACAGCTGCACCGAAAAATGATGGGTGGGATCTAAACCCTGCCAAGGTCGTTTGCTCCCAAAGCAACCAACCATCAAACGGTCGCGCTGCATTGACAAAGCCGCGACTCAGGGGCCGATCAACAAACAGCCGGGTTGACTGGTGAGCCTGTGGTGTTCGTTCGGTTCCGCTCTAAAACAGCGGAGCAACAAACAGAACCGGACGGTGAGTCACCGCTCCCCCCCCCTAACCCCCTCACCACACCGGTCTGCTGGCGCCAACCCAGTGGGTAAAGCCGTTACACAGTGCTGCAGTACCGGTGACCTCGCCCCCTCCCGTCAGCGGCCGGTGGTCAACTGGGCGCGGACGCCGGGGCGGGGCGCGGCCCCCAGGCCAGGTGAACGTCAGCCGGCGGCGGCGGCGGCGGCGGCGCGGCCAGCCGTGACGCGCCGGGCCGCCGCCGCCGCCGCCGGCAGCTGCAGCCGCACCGGCGGAACGGGCGGCGCGCCGCTCCAGCGGAGCCCGGCTCCGGCCGCCCGGCACGCGCCCGCTCTCGGCCCAGCGCCCCCGACACGGCACGTCTTCGGGCCGGGCCGCGGGTGCCGCCGCTCTAGCGAAGCCCGACTCCGGCCGCCCGGCACGCGCCCGCTCTCGGCCCACGCCCCCGACACGACGCCCCCCGTCTTCGGGCCGGGACGCGGGTGCCGCCGCTCTAGCGAAGCCCGACTCCGGCCGCCCGGCACGCGCCCGCTCTCGGCCCACACCCCCGACACGGCACGTCTTCGGGCCGGGCCGCGGGTGCCGCCGCTCCAGCGAAGCCCGACTCCGGCCGCCCGGCACGCGCCCGCTCTCGGCCCGCGCCCAACGACACGGCACGTCTTCGGGCCGGGCCGCGGGTGCCGCCGCTCCAGCGAAGCCCGACTCCGGCCGCCCGGCACGCACCCGCTCTCGGCCCACGCCCCCCAACACGGTGCGGGTCCGGGCCGGGCCGCGGGTGCCGCCGCTCCAGCGGAGCCCGGCTCCGGCCACCCGGCACGCGCCCGTTCTCGGCCCGCGCCCCCCCCCCCCCCCCCCCGACACGGTGCGGGTTCGGTTCGGGCCGCGAGCGCTGCCGAACCGGCGGCGAACCGGGGCAGACGCCTGCGAGATGCACGGCCGCGCGACACATTCCTCCGCACCGTCTTTGACCATCATACAAAACACTGCATGTCAACGTCAGTGGTCCCATGGGAACACCAGTCCCGACATGGCCACTAGCTCTTGGACGGTCAGTACAAAGGCGCGTTTTTAACACCGTAACGGTCGAAGTGGCCAGCCCCCCCCCCCCCCCCCACCCACCCCCCCACCCCCACCCTGCCCCGCCCCGCCACAAGCTTGCCGAGACGGCACACACCACTACGTTTCTTCTCCCGAGGAAGGGGACCCCTCCCCCCCCCCCTTCTCCACACACACACACTTCAGAGTTGCTTGGCCGAGCCGGCCGGAGCCGGAGTCCCGGCGACATGGCGCCGCAGTGTCATCGGGACTCCGGCTCCGGCCGGAGGCGTGCCCTGGCCGTGACGTCACGCGGCCCGCCCTATTGTCTCCTGGCCGGAAGCGGGCCGGCGCGACGGAAGCGCGCGCCGGCGTGGGACGTGCGATGGCGAGGGGCGTGCGCCGGCGAGGGGTATGCGACAGCGAGGGGCGTGCGTAAGCAGGAATGTCGCCGCCACCCGACAAAAACGACGTCAGACCATTGCGCGGGCCGCCGCAGAGGGCGTCGCAGGGCAAGACGCGACGCCAGCTGGCGGGGCGTTCCCACGCTCCGTTCGCGCGACATGCCGGGTGTTGCCCGCCTCGGTGGGCGGGCGGACTTGAACTGTTTGATTCGGTTCGGACTGCGACTTCAGATTCTGAACGTCAAGTCAACGTGTCTGTGTTGGCCGCATCAAGTGACGTCACGTGTCGCAAGGCAATGGTGTGCCGGCACCACTTAGCGCGATGTGCAGGGTTCTCTTATTTACTTAATTACCCAAGAGCAACGGATGAGGATTCCCTTTGTTCTGGATTCGATTAAGATGCCACGGCGTGCCGACCAAATAGCCCTTCAGTAGTCTGAGAAATGCTTCGCCAAGTGGCTCACACGTAGCGACAAACCGAGGTGCGTCTAAACACACAGACTCACAAAGGCCGTCGGAAACAAACAAACAGGCAGATACGGACGGTCAACAAACACATGATGGCAGAGAAGCCTCAACACTAAAAAAGGTCAGCAAACCCACGCAGACAACAGAAGCCAACACCAAAGAACACAGAAACAAGCCCACAAAGACGCCGGCGCGGCCACCGAAAGAGCGGCAGACCGACCGGCAGCTAGCAGCCAAACGGACAGACTGGAGACCACGCCGACGGCCGTCCAGTCACAGACAGGCGGCCGGCGCTGGGGTCGCGGGCTACTCACAGTTGTCGTCCACGTCCTTGGTGTCGTCCTGCTCGGCCGGGTACAGCCGGTCGTAGGAGACGGTAAGCGGCGGCCGGCCGCGCTCGCGCGGCTGCACCGTCACGCCGTCATCGGCTAGGTCGGTGATCTGACCCAGCACGAAGCCGTCCACCGGGTGCGGTACCCACACCTTCTGTTCCTCCATCCTGCACAGACGGGACAGCGCGCGTGTGAGGCAGGCGCGACACGACCTCACCAACCGAGCCTCTGCCGGCTCCTGGTCCGGCCCCTCCAGCCAGTGAACCTGCCTGTGATCAGGTGAGCCTCTCTCGTCTGCAAGCTCGGCCTGACAGGCGGTGGCCTCACTCTGATCAGCTAGCCCCCCCCCCCCCCATCCCCCCCTGATTCCTTGCTCAGTCTGGCAGATGTAGCCCCCCTCTGAACAGCCATGCCTCTCTTCATTTCTAGCTCAGTACAGCACAAGGATGCTCCTCTGATTAACTGAACTGCTCTCAGCTTCCAGCTCTGCCAGGTATATGATCACCTTCCTTAATTTATGGGCATTGCCCTCTGCAATCAAGATTGCAACTGCAACTCATTGCCTGCCTGCCTTCATTGCCTTATTGCCTTCTGCAATCCTGCATTCCTTGATTGCAATAGCCTGCCTTCCTATCGCTTTCCTTGATTCATAGTCCCTCGCCTTGACTTCTGGCCTGGCCTGGCAGATGAGAGTCTCTCCCTGACCTGCCAAGCCTCCAGAAGCTTGGCTTGGCTCAGCTAGTCCTGACATTTTGTTCAGCTCTTGGCTTGACCCAGCAGACAGGAATGTTTCTGTGACCAGCCAAGCCTCTATTGGACCCTGACCTGGCCGAGTGGGCTCCTCCTCCAACTCAATCTCCCTCAGTCCCTGGCTCAGTCTGCAAGATCAACAAGATAGGGGCTCTCATGGCAGAGAGACCTAACCTTAGCATAGGTCACTCCTGGCTATATGTGGCAAACAACTTACAAGCTCTTCCTCTGAACAATTTAAGCCTCTTTTAGCCCCATGCCCTACAGAGCCCTGTACACTTCTACTCCACCCTTTTTGCACATGAAGGTTTCTGAGCTGATTCTTGTCAGTTGCAGTTTGGGACAGCATTGTTTGCAACATCCCTTACAGACATTATGGGTGTGATTACAAATTGCACACACTTACAAAGAAATCTGGCATTCAGCCAACTAACAAATGACCAATGTCTCAGCACATATATTGGTTCTCACTTTAATTCAACCATTCCTTGCTCTGAATCCAAAGGCAAAGAGGCTCAAGTACTATGCTAACTAACTGCTCTTAAGCCTTTTGCCTTTGGACAGCAGTGTTCCTACTTGTGTATTTTTGATAACTCCTAACAAATGTGTGAGCCAGAAAGAGTGGCATGGTGGAAACCCAGTCTGTGAAACATGGCAAGGATGGCAACAAGATGTGTGGGAGCATCTTGCCACTTTTGGGATGGATAATACTTCATTTGTGGTTAATTTCTATTGGCCTGGCCTGCCCCACATGCTGTGCCTGACTTACACCATTTAGACACAATAGCTGCATAGGCTGTCTTATTTCTGGAATTTCCATGCCACATTCTACAAAACCTTTCCACCTTCTTCTACTGCTTTGACCACGCCTGCCAATCTTACAAAAATTGCCACATCTTTCAGATTGGGTGTAGCCATGGTTTACACCTGCAAATAAACTCAATTACAAAAAAAACTTCATCAAGTTTTTAGCTAACACTTCAGTGTGGGTCTAAGGTTGTCATGTGTGTAAAACATGCATACAGCACAAAACACATGAAATGTGCAGCATCCCACACACACACACAATGACCAAGACCAATGTTTTGAAGCTCAGAATAGAGGTGTGACAGGCATTCTTCAGAAAACAGAAACAAAAAACCGTGCTGCTGTAATTTGCTAACCTTTAAGGCTGTTTTCTTCAAGAAAAGACAGAAAAAATATTTGAAAATTCGCAATCCTGAGCAGCTAGTAACGCGATGCGGGCGAGGAATGTGGAGGAACGCACAACAGATGCAAGCTTTCCCAGCCCCGCTGGAATCACTCCACTTGGGAGGGAGAGCAAACTGCTGCAGGGAAACAGCTCCACGATCCAACCTCAGGCAACACAGCCGCTTACGTAGATACAATCCCCGCACAACGTTACCGACGGCGCGCGCCCGCCTCCCGACGGCACCCGTAGCGGAGTGACAACAAAAACCGAGCCGTTTCTAGAGCAGCCCCACGCGAACATATTATCACGTGCCATAAAACTAGCCAGCTGATACTGGTTTTCTGAACAATAACAGTCAAAAATTCAGTTTAAAACGGCATTATGATGACTTGTTGTTAATACTCGCTGCAGAATTTATCATAAATGTGAAAAAATTGGCTTCAATTGACCATATTATTCATTATTTTTTTGTAAAAACGGCCATTTAATATTTAAAACACGAAAAACATATCAGTCTATATTTGGGTCACGTAATTCAGCTGACGTAAATACCGCTATACTCGGAAGTACCCTATCCCTTTATGATAGGACAGAGAGCAGGTAGCGAAATATACGCAAAAGATTCATTTGATTACCGGCTTGATGGAATTCCATGCACAGTCCGCTTCAGGTCTTTGTTGGCAAGCGGGCGGTGCGTGAGGTGAATGAGCTATGGTTAAACCAAAAGGTGTTCCACCAAAAAAATGATGATGCCAAACATTCGATGTTGACTGATTAGTTGTCAATGATGTGGAACTTTCCGCGTTATTTGACCTTGACCTTGAAGCTTGATCTTGATATGTTAAGACTTTTCTGGGGACGTTGGCTTTAACACGCGCCCTGGTGGCCGGCTTGATACCCTTCGCTTGGATAGAAGGGTCAATTTGACCTCCTCGAGATCCCAGGAATTAAGAGAGCTAGGGACACCAAATTTACGGGGTGTGTTGGCCCGTACCTGAACTCACTCAGGTTTAAGTTTCAGGTTCCTAGGCATGACCTTCGGGTCAGATAAGGTCAGGCTCCAGGCTGGTTTCCAAAGTGCCCCCAAAACCTAAATAACTATTACAAGCAACACGTCACATGCTCATTTGAGGTCAGTGACCTTATTTGAACATATGAAGGTCATGGTGACCAAAACCATACTTCACTGTTCTGAGTTCTGCATTTGAATAAGCAACAAAGGTTGCGCTAGGCAGTATGTTCCTACAAAATAAAATGTTGACTGGGAGCATTTAAGGTCAGTGACCTATTCTGAAAAATCTGTGGAGGACGTATAATGCGGTTACTGTTATCAATATATTTGAAATGAGCACAACAAACCACCTCTTACGGCAAGCCCTAGAGTAATAAAACAGGTTGGTTTCGAACTTGATCTGACCTCCATATCTGACCTCAGGACAATGGGATTTATTCATTCAATTGGTATGTTGCCTAAGGAAGCATCTAAGAGATGTATGGCTCAGTCCAACACTGTTGTTCCGTCGTTGATTGAGCGATTCCTTAGAAATTGACTTCGCTGAATCCATGGCCTGGCTGACCTGCCGTAGGTCAATGGCCTTACCAGGTACATCGAAATTTTTGATACCGCATGATCCGCTATTCAGTTATCTGCAGCTAAACAGCATTTGACGCGGCTGCGCCGCGCCGTTTAGAGACCATTCCGGAGAAAACCTTTAGGGAGTCACCTTGACCCCAAAACCGGGCGCACGTTAAGACCCTGAAATCTACCAGTAGCATTTGGATGATGCGATGTTCCCTATCGTTTGACCAGCCTGGATTTGGCCATCGAAGTTTGCGTGATATTGGAGAGCAAACGTCAGTTAAGATGTTCTTGCGGCATAACTGATCATCTGATGCGTTTTGATAAATCGCTAATCTCACGGACGTCTGGGATATTTAACCTCCCCGTGAGTACGGAAATGGTCAAGACGTGACTGAGCGATCGGAAACAAAACATCCCAGCCGTTTGTCAACTGAAAGACAGGCATCCATTCTAGCTTGCGCCCTTAAAGTAATAGAATCAAGGTAAATATTCAAGGTCGTACTCAAGGTCAAAGAACAGGGTAGCGCCGCACTGCAGTTGTAGTGGACTGATGTACATAAATAGGATGCCGTCTGAAATTCAGGCATTCATTCCAGCCTACGTTCATAGAAACGCGTCAAACAACGCCAACCAAATTTTAACTTTCATCTTCAACCCAACTTTCAAGTCATCATTTCAGGTCATCATGCATGATTGGACAATGCACACAAATTAGGTGTCATTTGAAAGTCGGGCATCGATTCCACCATGCTTTATCAAAATATCGCTCTTCAAAGTCAACTGCTGCCGTCAAAAATCCTAAAACGCAAAATGTCAAGATCAAAGGACGGGCCTGCGCCACACTGTCGGTGCACGTTACTGATCTCGACACGTAAGGTGTTATTTGAAAGCCAAACATCTCTTCCAATCTGGGCTATGCAAATCCCACCACTCATTTATCAATTCAGTTGTTCCGACGAGAACTCCGCACAATTTCAAAGTTGCAGTACAGGGTTGGGGCGCGCTTCCGCTGTATGGGACTGACGTGGATTCCCACAAGCGCTTGAATCAAGGTCACCCTTCGAGGTCACATTTATGACCGTAGGACGGTGAAGTGGCGATGTATGCACAGATCTGTACAAGTCAGGCGCCTTTTGAAAGCCTGGCATGCATCTCAGCTTGGGCTAACTTACCTTTTAAATAATAGTTATTTCAGTTGCGAAGCCAATAACGTAATATTTTTTAGGCAGATGACGGGACATGACTGTTTTGCTCCTGCATGGGACTGATCTGTACCAAATACCAGTACGTGAGCATGCTGCTGTTACCTTGAGATAAAAAATACTTAATATAAGCATGACTGCGGTGTTTGTACGTGAAAATCAGCATTATTCATATTGATGCGAAACGCTGTCTTCACAAATGTCGTAGTTACCGTCGACAATACGCGAGCGGGTCCGCACGACCCTCCTCTTGCGCCCCAAGTGGGCCCTTAGCCGGCCAAGCCGCCGGAGATTTTAACACAAAACGCTACCAAGTTGCACGTTTTTGGGCTTCCAGGCAACCACGAACAGTCGCAAGCAAAAGTGACGGGGCCCACGAGTAGACAAAAATAATTCTCCACTGATTGAGAGGGCAATGATTGGAAGATTTTACGACTCATTGTGCTTTCCGGGCGCCCTACATTGTTCCCTATGTGTCCATTCGCAAGGCCAATCCGATCGTTAAGGAGCCTTCTACGCTGTCCTTGACTGTTTTGTATTTGCTCTGAGGGCCCTCCGCTGTTGCTGGGGCTTTCCCTGCTGGCATGCCGGAGCGCTCTTGTCAACCAGGAGCCCTTCACAGATTCTTCCTATTCGCCCGAAAAGCTCTATAAGCTATGGCGTGGGCCCCGTATGTTAACATGTTAACCTGCCCTGGTATTCTCGGTTGTTCAGCGGCCGGCTTCAAATCGGCCCCGGTTAATCTAACGACACACTCGCTCATGAGTCCTCTACATTGGTCTAGGGTCCTTCCCATTCTGTCACTTGCTAGGACCCCGCGCTCTTGAGGGGGGTCCATCTGTTTACCTGCTTGGGCACATTCGGTCGTTTGGGGTCCTCCAAATTGAGCCTTGGGTACTTCTCAAGACCCAAGATTCCCGGAGAGATGATTCACCTCTCCGGGAACACTGGGTTGTTCGGGGGGCCGTGGACATTGGGTCTTGGTATTTGAATGTAGGGCCCTAAGTTCCTGTCGGGGGCCATCTGATAATCTGCTCGGGTAAACTCCAGCTTTTGAGGGACCTCCACACTGGGTCTTGGACGCTCCTTATTTGAATGGAGGGCCATGCGCTCTCGTCGGGACACCTTCTGATAGCCTGCTCGGGCGCACTCGATCGTTCGGGAGCCCTGTACATTGTGTCGTGGGTATTTTTTATTTGAATGGAGAGCCCTACGCTCTTGTCGGGGGCTCTCATCTGTTAACCTGCTCGGGGACACTCGATCATTCCGGGGCCTCCATATTGTGTCTTGGGTACTTCTCATTTGAGTGGATGACCCATCCTCTCGTCGGGGCCCCATCTCTTGAGCTGCTCAGACCGATGGCGAATCCAGGGGTGGCATGGAACTATGCCCCCCCCCCCCCCTGTGGCCTGCGGGGACCCATAGGCTCCGGAGGGGCCCGTAGCCGACTGCATGAATGCAGTTTAGGTACTTACACAAAATGCAGCAGGATTGGACGCAATTAGGCCTGCAAACGTCCAAGGACAGTTCCAAACGAAAGTGAAGAGATCGCGAGCCGACAGAGTTGATTCTTCGCTGGCTGGAAGAATGGTTATTGGGAAAATTGTGAGGCTCATTGCGTTGCCCAAAGGCGTGCAGCTCTTACCGGGCCCGATTTCTCCGCTAGTCGGGTCAACCCGATTGCTAACGAGCCTCCCACGTTGCCCTTGATGTCTGGATTTCCTCCTAGGGCTCTACTCTGCTGTTGAGACACTGCTGCTGTTGAGCTAATATGCTTGGGCATTCTTGGTTGATCGGGGGCCCTTCAGTGATATTTCCATTGTCCCAAAAGGCTCTAAATATTGCCGGGGCCCCATATGCCAATGCACACTCAGTTACTCAGGGTCCTTCATATTGGTCTCGGGTTCTTTCCGCTTGCTCGGAGGGCCTTGTGCTGTTGCTGGGGCTCATGTAAGGTAAGGCCACACCGAGTCACTCGATGCTCAGAGGCCCTTTATATTGATCTAGAGCTATTTTCCTCTAGTAATCTTATTCGCGAAGGACCTTTCATTCCTATCAGGGCCGTATATGGTAATTTGTCTGGACACTCTTGATCGCACAGGGGCATTAATTTGTGTGCGATGATCTTGGGTAGTTTTCATGAAGAGGACCCTGCGCTTTAGCCGGGGTCCTATATGTCGACCTGCCGGGGCCCTCCCGATCGTTCAGGGACCCACCACTCTGACCTTGGTGTCTTTGCCTTAGAATAGCAGTGGGATATTCGCTGATGAATCCTTACGTCCAACTGCCGAGCGTTATTTTACGTGCCGCCGGCGCCGTACTGCGTCATTTCCGTTGGCTATTGAATTTGTGACACCTTTCACGCTTCTGCATCCCGTTCTTGATACAATTTGAATGTTACGATGTTTTGTATTCCTTCATAACAAACAAAGCAAATGCTCTGCACTAGCCACCAGCCATCATCTGATCACATCGACCAGCCAGCTAGCCGTAAATAGCCTGAGAATCAAGGTTGTGCGCCATTTTGATGGTAATTAGCAGGCAGCTTTAGTTTATTTTGCTATGTTTTTTTCGAATTACATAGCCTCTAAATGACAGGATTCACCATGATCTGGAGAAAGTGAATAAGTTCAATGAATGTCGATACGTAGCATACCTGGTTTTCTTTTGGCTGCGCACAGTAAAACATTGGTCATGAAAAGCAGCATGCTATGAATCGTGGAATTTCATGGCCGAAATGCGAGTTTTTTTAAGAGCCCTTAACTGTAGGCAGCCTAGTGTTGCGTCCCCCTCCCCTGTTGACGCATTCCTGGATCTGTCCCTGCAACTACGCGGATGTGCGAACAATAAAGTAATTGCATCACAGAGCACAAAATATGCGGCAGGAAGGTGATGAAGAAGGTGAATGAACCAAAAGAGCACGCTGAAAGGAACCATATATTTCAGCCAAAAACGATTTTTTGCAACGCCTTATCCCTTCAAAGAAGATCACTCAGCATATTCTAAATATTCGGTAAATTCATTATGCCGTGAATATTTGGGCTGAAACCATAAGCATCCCGTACAGACGTGCACGTAGTTAGCGCATTTAAATGTTGCTCGGAACCGAACAATAGCATCATTAGCTTGCAGCTGCACTGATAATGGATTATCATTTGACCGGTTTCAGCGAATCATGGACGACATGTGCTCTGAAGGTTCAGTCAGATTTGGCGGTAGATCAGTATGCCCTGGCAACTGCAGTTACAAAACGCAAGGCGAGGGATCCTGGGCCCCGACTTACTTCCGAACATCGTGGCAATTGCGCGAACTTCAACCGCAAATGGGCACAAGGATAAACTTGTTTTGCTGTCTTGCGGGTGCATCGCCCCGTTGTGCCTCCAATCGCGGGAACTCTCCACCCCCCAATCGGTACCAGATTCAGCAGAGACCATTGCAGAATCCACCTGATCCATTTGCAAGACGCTGTCTGCTTATCTAGTCGACAGCCAGTTTGGCACATTGAGGTGCCCAAGGGCAGTCATAGCGCTATATATTCAGATGTAAAAGTCTGGAGATTGCTGTCAACCAATTGCCCCAATACCCCCGAACGATCTTAAGGTGTAGAGTGAAATATTTCGAGTCTGCTGGTAACAAGACAAAGCTGGGGGACCAGCTGTATATATATATATATATATATATATATATATATATATATATATATATATATATATATATATCTCTCTCCTCTCTCTCTCTCTCTCTCTCTCTCGGAAGAGAGTAGAGTCTCTCTGCTCGATCTCTTCTCCTCAGATAGAGGCGCGATATCGATAGATATATCTCCTCTACTCGTTGCTCCTCTCATAGCGCGCTGTCTCCTCTTCTCTCTCTCTCTATCTCTCTCTCTCTCTCTCCTCCTTCTCTCTCTCTCTCTCTCTCTCCTAAATCTCTCTCTCTCTCTCTCCGTCTCTCTCTCTCTTCTCTCGCTCTTCATCTCTCTCTCTCTCATCCTGAATCTCCTTACTCTCTCTTCCCTCGTGGCAACTTCTATCTCTGGGTCCGTCATCTCACTCCAACCGGTAACTGCATCTTGCATGCAAACTGGTATCTCTCTTCTCTCGTCGTCTCTTGACGAGTAGTCTTCCTCTCCTCTTCCTCTCCTCAGGATACCGACCGTTACTTTGTGAAAATCCGGACCCACAAGGAATGCATTTGATGCAATGTAGTCTGACGAAGCAGGATGACCGGAAGCACATCTTGCACGCTTTTTACGCTTTGTCGTTTTTTGCCAGTTACGCTCCTTTTGTTATAACGCTAGGATGTCAGTTAGAAAATGTCCTTTGATGCGTGGTGAGACATTTGTTGTAGCAAAAACATAATGCGAAGTGTTATGAGTCTAGTAAAAACGTTTTGTTTTGTGGCATGCAGTCTGGCTTTAAATGCTCGGTTGTTGATGTATCACGTTTTCCAATCTTTCCTTCGTGGCATATGACATAATTTTACTGGCAAGCCCACCATGGCTGAAAGTATGAAGTACGTATTCTGGTCCGTTTTGCTGCTCTTCATTTCTCGGTAAGCACATTGCATCGTTTAACCTGACAAATTACGAACGAATTTTCAGTTTATATCCTATGCTACTGGGATGGCATCAATGAATATAATACTCTATACCTAATATGATGGATGCATTGGTAAGTGAATGAGCCACAGTCTGCTATTTTTCTTCAGGCTTAAACACAGTTACAAACAACGCCATACTTTGCTTTTATTTACAAATATCGCATTCTTATAGTAGAGTTGTCAACAACGCAGTGTATACCTATAACTGCCATCACGTTACATTCACTCAAACAATACGCATATTCTCTACCCATTTTAGGGGGAAAACGGAAACAGTTGCTAACGTCTTGCTGAACAGATAGCGTGGTATTCCAGATCGCTTGTTCTGCGCCACCAATCCTTTCGTACCAGGGACGCCAGACCTAGCACTCAAACTTTTCTTGCATTACACAACAGACGGGATGCCTGCACTGTCCTGCTTGCACAAAACCTTGTTTTGACTACCCCATGCTCCCATTCTGCCAGAACTATTCCGGATGCCGCGTACGAGAAGTGCTCCCCGTCGTCCCCGTGCCACCCGGACGGCGTGCTTTCGGAGAACTACACCCGGAGGCGAGAGCTGCGCTGTCCGCTGGACGACCTCCGCTGTGACCTGCAGTACCGCGGCAGAGCGGAGTGCGTTGTGAGTGCTGCGCTGTCAGACGACCTGAACGCCCTTTCTGTTGACTGCTGTCACGGACATACACTGCTGTCACACACTCAACTTCGTACACCGCACATCGCTGTCACAGCGTTCGCTGCATGTCTTGTACATTTTGCACGTCAGTGACAGCAACCTAATAGTTTCCCCGGCAATGGGGCTGTGTAATATCCCGGGTCGCAGTAATAACACAGCACCAACCTTCTTGCACCGATTGATATGAAGCGCAAAATTGTCATTACTCTTTGAATGGATAGATCTCTGGGGTCTGCGCTCACGCTCAGCAGTGCTTTTTGTGTGAACCCTGACGCCTACCATGCGATCGCGCAATTCCAGGTCAGGACAGAATTTAGTGGCAAAAGTTTAACGTGCGATCCAATGGTCGGCACGGTCCGTCCTGCCGTCTGACGTCACCTGACCTTTAGCGCGACCGCTGCTACCGGTCGCAGGGTGTGCCTGTCAAGGACCAATAGCGAGCACCTCAAACGACTCGAAACCAGCCCTGCCACGAGTGGGTGGATCGAAAGGCAGGCGGTGTAACCAACCGAGCCATCGGGACTGACACGCGCCAGTTGTTTCATCTCATTTCTTGGTGTGGCGCTCTCACCGTAGTGTTTGTCTGCCCTTGGGAGTATCAGATCTCATGTAATCAGAATGAACAAATCTTACTGCTCACCATGGGTGATAACTACAACTGGAGATGCTCGTTCTCACAAGGCTTCGGCATCAAATTCGTTTGATTCGCAGTCCTGTTCGCTGTCATGCTCATGTCGAAGCGTTCTGTTAGTACCGCTACTAACCACCTTGCCACTGATGCGAGACTATTTTGAAGAGCATTAAGTGTGCTTACCAGACTACCAGCCCTTTCGCGAGTTGTAGTACCATAACACTGACACCAACTAAATGCCATCGGAATAATTCCTAGCTGTCCCCGTACCTCCCATGGTGGAGCGCCGGACATCTGAGCAGTCCCGGCAGCGACGCCGTCGGCTCGCGTCCCACACTGAGTCACTGTGGCACGCGAGGCCGCGAGCTTTTGAGCTACCTTGTGGCTCGAAAACGACAGCACAGTGGCGGCTGACCGAAGAAGTCTGGCTGACATGGCCATCCGTTTCATCTGACTTCATGGTACCATGATATTTGTTGGTACCGTGGCTGATTGTTTAGTAACGTGGCTAAGAAAGCAAAAGCGTACGTTGATCTGCGAGTTCTTTTCCGAGGTGGAGGGGTCGAGATCTTTGCAGAACGATACACCTAGACAGGCCTCTGGTCCGAAGCCATCCATGCCAAACATCTCGCCGACAGCGTACGGAAAGTGATTATATGTTGTGCTAGTATAAATTATACGCTTCATTAGGTGGTGCACGTCTCGCCATGGCAGCTAGCAATCACAGTGGTCTCATATCTGCATGTGCCCAAAGATGCCACATGCATGTTGCGCATTCGAATGTGCAATTGTCGTGTGGGGTGTTGTGCATCTCAATGCGACATTCCTTCCACTCGGCTGCACGAGACGAACACAGCCCGCGGCCGGCACTGAGAGCGCACCGTGACTGAGCGCCTGTCGTGTCTGACCGCGTGCCGTCTGTGACCGCGTGCCGTGTCTGACTGCGTGCGGTGCCTGACTGCGTGACATATCTGACTGCGTGCCGTGTCTGGCTGCGTGCCGTATCTGACCGCATGCCGTGTCTGACTACTTACCGTATCTGACCGCATGCCATATCTGACTGCGTGCCATATCTGACCGCGTGCCGTGCCGGCGCCAGATGCTGGACACGGAGGTGGCGTACCGCAACGCGTCGGGCGCCGGGGTGGTGGCCTCGTCGCACCAGCAGTGCCGCTGCCGGCCGGCCTGGACGGGCGCCGACTGTGCGCTGCCGCGGGACCCGTGCGCGGCGCGCGACCCTTGCGGGCCGGCCTGGCGCTGCCGCCGCCAGCCGGAGCGGCGCGCCGGCCTCAGCTGCGGCTGCACCGGCCGGCCCGGCTGGAGCGCCGTCTCCAGTGAGCCTGCCTCGTCCTGGCGCGTTCAGACCGTTCGCACCCGATCCCGGCGATGGGCCGCCTTCTTGTGCTGGGAATGGTGCGGTGGTTGGTGTCGGACGACGGCTTTGTGTGCTCGGCGAAGATGCCAAGAATGGTGTTGACGAAGATAGCACCAGAACGCTTGCTTGTGCTATTAGACTAATGGAAGTTGGAAATTTCGTCCCGTGTCATATTCTAACGCATTATGAGTTGATCGACCGTCATGTGTGGCCTAACTGTTGGTGAATCGGAAAATAGCGCCCACCCGCACTGTGATGGTTTATATTTCCTTTCCGTCATAAGGGGACTAATTTATACAAAGAACATCAAGGCTCAGAGCTTGGTTGCATGCCGCAGAATTTTTTGACCTTAATTGCTCAACACAACTGCCAAAATGTTATGTTTAAAAATCCCACTAAAACTCGAGATCATGTTGCGCTTATCGCTGATGTCCATAGGTCTCTACTTGTCCTAACACCGCTCGTCGGGCCTCGGTGCACAGGCGTGATCCCCACGTGCGCGCCATCCCTGCGTCGGCGCAAGCGATCCGCCTTGCTCGACCTATGCGCCCGGAGGCAGCTGTGCAAGAACGGCGGCCGTTGCGCCGCGAGGGGCGCCGGCTACAGGTGCCTGTGTCCGGCAGGCTGGGGTGGTCCAACTTGTGCTGAAGCGACGGCTGCGCCGGCTGGAGCCCGTACCAGCCTGGCCGTACAGAACTGCCGGAGGTATAGCATGTGCAAGAACGGAGGCACTTGCACACCTAATGGAATGACCTTCAAATGCGTGTGTCCATCTGGATGGCGAGGTTTTACGTGCAAAACTGCGGACACAACCACTGCTGTTGTGGCTGAAAGCAAACCAACCAGCCTTGCAGTGCAGAATTGTCAGAAGTATAGCATGTGCAAGAATGGAGGCACTTGTACTCCCAACGGGAGGACCTTCAAATGTCTTTGCCCGTCTGGATGGCGAGGTTTTACGTGCAAAACTGCGGACACAACCACTGCTGTTGTGGCTGAAAGCAAACCAACCAGCCTTGCAGTGCAGAATTGTCAGAAGTATAGCATGTGCAAGAATGGAGGCTCTTGTACTCCCAACGGGAAGACCTTCAAATGCGTGTGTCCATCTGGATGGCGAGGTTTTACGTGTAAAACTCCAGACACAACCACTGCTGTTGTGGTTGAAAGCAAACCAACCAGCCTTGCAGTGCAGAATTGCCAGAAGTATAGCATGTGCAAGAATGGAGGCACTTGTACTCCCAACGGGAGGACCTTCAAATGCGTGTGTCCATCTGGATGGCGAGGTTTTACGTGCAAAACTGCGGACACAACCACTGCTGTTGTGGTTGAAAGCAAACCGACCAGCCTTGCAGTGCAGAATTGCCAGAAGTATAGCATGTGCAAGAATGGAGGCACTTGTACTCCCAACGGGAGGACCTTCAAATGTCTTTGCCCGTCTGGATGGCGAGGTTTTACGTGCAAAACTCCAGACACAACCACTGCTGTTGTGGCTGAAAGCAAACCAACCAGCCTTGCAGTGCAGAATTGCCAAAAGTATAGCATGTGCAAGAATGGAGGCACTTGTACTCCCAACGGGAGGACCTTCAAATGCGTGTGTCCATCTGGATGGCGAGGTTTTACGTGCAAAACTGCGGACACAACCACTGCTGTTGTGGTTGAAAGCAAACCAACCAGCCTTGCAGTGCAGAATTGCCAAAGGTATAGCATGTGCAAGAATGGAGGCACTTGTACTCCCAACGGGAGGACCTTCAAATGCGTGTGTCCATCTGGATGGCGAGGTTTTACGTGCAAAACTCCAGACACAACCACTGCTGTTGTGGTTGAAAGCAAACCAACCAGCCTTGCAGTGCAGAATTGTCAGAAGTATAGCATGTGCAAGAATGGAGGCACTTGTACTCCCAACGGGAAGACCTTCAAATGTCTTTGCTCGTCTGGATGGCGAGGTTTTACGTGCAAAACTCCAGACACAACCACTGCTGTTGTGGTTGAAAGCAAACCGACCAGCCTTGCAGTGCAGAATTGCCAGAAGTATAGCATGTGCAAGAATGGAGGCACTTGTACTCCCAACGGGAGGACCTTCAAATGTCTTTGCCCGTCTGGATGGCGAGGTTTTACGTGCAAAACCGCGGACACAACCACTGCTGTTGTGGCTGAAAGCAAACCAACCAGCCTTGCAGTGCAGAATTGCCAAAGGTATAGCATGTGCAAGAATGGAGCTACTTGTACTCCCAACGGGAAGACCTTTAAATGTCTTTGCCCGTCTGGATGGCGAGGTTTTACGTGCAAAACTCCAGACGCAACCACTGCTGTTGTGGTTGAAAGCAAATCAACCAGCCTTGCAGTGCAGAATTGCCGAAGGTATAGCATGTGCAAGAATGGAGGCACTTGTACTCCCAATGAAAAAACCTTTAAATGTCTTTGCCCGTCTGGATGGCGAGGTTTTACCTGCCAAGCCGCCGCCGTAACCACAACTACAGCCAGCCCCGTAAAGAACCCGTCCCTGAAGGCCTGCCAGGTAAACCACCTCTGCCGCAACGGAGGTACCTGCCAGGACGCCAAGAATGGCTTCACGTGCGCCTGCGCCAAGGACTGGCAGGGTGCCAGGTGCACTGCGCGCAGAAACTTGTGCTCCGCCGAGCGTGGCCCGTGTCAGAACGGCGGCACGTGCAGCTACAGCTCGCAACGCGGCTTCCTGTGCGGGTGCACGCCCGCCTGGCAGGGCGAGACGTGCCAGGTGAGCAACCCAGCTAGCGACGACGTTCTGCCGACATCACTGCCGAATGGTGAACTCTGACGCGGTTTAAAGGAAATTTCTGGGATCATTTTTTTCGGAGCGCTAATGCTAGTATAGGCTCTAAGCCCTGACATGTAATTGGTAAGGCCTATGCCCTTCAAAGGCACGCAACGTGTCACGGCGGCACCAGCTGGCCATAAGGACATGCCAGGCGACGTCCGCCGCGCGCTGCTAGGTCACTGTCGGATTATTTCAAGCCGAAGTCTCACGCTGCCAGTCACACGACGGGGCCGAACATTATCTGGCTGTCGCCTGTTACCACCACGCATCTTAAGCCACCCGACAGTAAGCATACACATGCAGGCGCTCACTTGACATCTCCAGACCTAGCGTTACAAAGGCGCGCAAGTCCTGAAGTCTGGACCGGAGCTCTCACAGCGGTGCAGGATGAAGTAACACTCAGAGATCCTCGGGTCAAACACTCCACCAAGGGTGTTTGGGCTCGTCCCACTGCGAGCGGCGTGAGCGGGAGTCGCGGTCGGAGTTACAGCTCAGTGACGAGGTGTATCGCCACGAGTTGTATTACATAGTCTTTCAAACACTTGATGCGCTTCTTTTCCTTTTCGTGGACGACCTTACGCAGAAGTTTGACATGCACTGAGTCTGCGCCATGCCCGCCGCTAGCGGCACATGTTAACGGCGGCTTCTCTGCCGGCAGCTTGTTCGCGATCCGTGCAAGACCGGGCTGAGCTGCGGTTCAGGGTTTCCGTGCAGCCGGGATCCGGCCTCGCTCGGGGGCTTCTCCTGCGACTGCGACAGCCGGCCTGGCTGGGGCGTCATCTCAGGTCAGACTGCGACAGCCGGCCTGGCTGGGGCGTCATCTCAGGTCACTGCGACAGCCGGCCTGGCTGGGGCGTCATCTCAGGTCAGACTGCGACAGCCGGCCCGGCTGGGGCGTCATCTCAGGTCAGACTGCGACAGCCGGCCCGGCTGGGGCGTCATCTCAGGTCAGACTGCGACAGCCGACCTGGCTGGGGCGTCATCTCAGGTCAGACTGAGACAGCCGGCCCGGCTGGGGCATCATCTCAGGTCAAATTGCGACAGTTGGCCAGGCTGGGACGCCATCTTAGGTCAGACTATGAGACAGGCAGGCTGGGGCGCCATCTCAGGTCAGCCTGCGACAGTCGGCCTGGCTGTGACGTCATCTCAGGTCAGACTGAGACGGGCAGGGAAGAAGGTGGGCAAAATTATGGGAACAAGACGTTTTTCGGGCTGATGGCGAGAAGCTTTGAATAAGTTTTCCTGCTCAGTCAACTTTTTTTGCGAAATAACATCGTTGATATGCCAGTACTGTTTTCGGAACATTCTGAACAAATTTGGCCATGTGCATATTTTGAAGTGTGTGCTATTTTTAAGAGAGCTCTCATGTGGGGGTGCAACTTGAATCCTTATTGAGCAATGTACGCTGGGTGCAGGGGCACCGTCATAGTTCTTTTCAAGGAGTGGTGAAGGCAGAGTTTGGTGAATACACATCACGCCGATTTTTGACTTCCTGTCGGAAGACATCAGTGGTGAAAAAACATCTGGGCCTAAGGGGTGGCTTTGGCTGCACCTCTACCTGGGGCTTGTTTGACCGCTGTACACGCTTGTACCCATAAAAGGCCTGCAGTGCGTTCGCATTTCAAACAAAGAAACGGCATTCGCGCGAACAGCTCGCACGGAAGTCTTGTTAAAATGGTTATTGATCGCACGTGTGGCTGGGGCCGGCTTGGTTTCCTTAAGAAATACATCAGCTCCATAGTGCGATTGTATCCTGGGTGTAAGTTAACACCAATGATCTGTGCTGTGCGCGCCTCGGGCATGTAAAATGCGTAGGGTCAAGTAGCTTCTGTCGCACCACAAAGTTAGAGTTAGCGTGCGGCCCAAATACCAATGATCTGTGATGTGCGCGCCACGGGCATCTAAACTGTGCAGGGCCAAGTAACTTCTGTCGCACCACAAAGTTAGAGTTAACGTGCGGCCAAAATTTTTCTGATAAAAAGTGCGCATCATGGCGTGACCATGGGCAATGGGCAAACGATTTATTGCGGGGGAGCTTACTGAACGTCTGGCGGAATTACAGGCGTTTTGCATTGTCTACTTCCGTTGAGTAGACTGTGTCGCCAAGCATGTGGTCAATGCGGCACAGCATGTCGCCTGCCCGACTCCGGGGTGCTTTTGAGCGACTGGCGGGGCGCAGCCGTACGCACACAGTACACGAAGACGCGGCGTGGCAAAATATGAATTTCGAATCCAGAGGGAACTACGTAAAGAAGTAGTCGATCCTTTGCGCCGATAATGAAGACTTGGTTATGAAGATATAATGAAGACTTGACCGATAAGAAGACTTGCCAGGCGCTGATCGTGAAGTCTTGTAATCTGCTGCGGTTCTAGACGAGACCGGCGTGGAGCAGTCTAAGGTTAACGGGTGAACGACACAATATCTGACGAAACAGGAGCGAAAGACTCTCTTAGTATCCTGTCTTATTCCATGTTCGCAGTTTAAACGCTATGCAGGAGTTGGACGACTTGTTTGCTGTCCACAGGCCGCAACCCTGCGTGCACGATCACGGACCTCTGCAAGACGAAAGGCACGCACTGCGGCAATGGTGGCACCTGTATTTCCGTCACCGATGGTAAGTGTCTCGTCGTTTGTCGCCTCGTGACGGTGACAGGCGCCAGGCTCACGTCTGAACACCACCAGGTCATGTCTGCCGAGCGTCAGCTGAGTCTGAAACGCCAGCCGGCGGCGCATCAAACACGCGAGCGCAGTGCTGACGGCGTTCCCCCTCTCGCCGTGCAGGCACCAGTCCATTTCGATGCCAGTGCCCGGTCGCCTGGACGGGCCGCGTGTGCCAGCTGCCGCGGGACCCGTGCGGCCCGAGCTCCCAGCACGCGCGCCTGTGCGGCGCCGGCTTCGCCTGCAGCCGGCGGTCGTCGTCCTTGGCCGGCTACCGCTGCCACTGCAGGGACCGACCAGGATACGTGGCCAAGTCAGGTGTGCGCAGACAACGCGGTCGGTGCCGATTCGTTTGCCTGTGTGCGGACTGGCACACGCGCAGGGGGCTTGCGTGCTGGCTGCTGCCTCCTGTCAGGAACTAACGAAACCGTCCCCATTCGGAGGCGAATGGTCTGGTGAGACGGTTGATTTCTTTGACGTCGCGTCTCTTCGACGTGTCTTCCGAGTTTGAATGACGACACCGCTGTCAGCTTTGGACACGTTGCAGAGTGACGAGACGACCGGAAATGTCACCGAAGCATTCCGCTTAGTTCGTGCACAAGTCCATGATCGCTGTCAATTTGTGTGACCCTATGGTAATCGCTCGCGCCCATGGTCTTTTCTGCTGTATTTTTCCGTCTGACACTAAGCGAAGGGATAGACCCCCGGATTCCTGCCTTTGCAGTTATTTGTTACCCGTTATCGCCTGGATGATATGTACCGCACATTATGCAAACCACCTTCTGTCTCCCGGCCGCAGAGACGGATCCGCGCTGTGTGATCAAGGACCGCTGCAAGGCCAAGCCTCCGTGCCTCAACGGCGGCACGTGCGTCACGTCGCCCGAGTCGGGCCGCGAGTACACGTGCACGTGCAGTCCGGCCTGGCGCGGCCAGCGCTGCGAGGTGCCCAACAACCCGTGCACCACGGCGCTCAACAGGTGGGCCGCTTCGGCCGGGCCGGGCCAGCGAGGCCAGCCGGGCCCAGGCGTCCGGACGGCACGCGTTGGCGAGCGCGACCGGAACACGGCTGCGCCGAACAGTCTTTGTGGGTCATGCATCCGGAGAGCTGGTTTCAACGGGACAAGATGATTGCCGTTGGTCTCTCGGTTATCTGCCATGCACGTTTGTGAGCAGGCGCAGGACCCGCGTACAGGGGAGGAGCAGAGGAGTATGACTCTCCCTTTCTGGGGAGAAGTTGACCACTAATATCAGGATGATGCATGGAAGAACTGACCTCAGAAGACGTCCGGCGTTCCCAATCGTAGGCCCGTTCCCACGCCACTGCGTACCAGCGCGCGAAGCAGCGACTGACGACGGCGCACGCGCAGGTGCGGCACCGGCTGGAAGTGCAAGCGGGACCCCAGCCATGCGTCCGGTCACAGCTGCGGCTGCGCCACCCGTCCCGGCTGGACCATCAAGTCAGGTAGGCAGCTGCGCAGCCTCGTGCACGTGGCGCTGCCTCGCCGAGGCGCCGTTTGGTCCGAGGCGCCGTCCGCTGCTGCTGATTCGTCCGGTGGATTCGCACGACCGTTTGGTCCCGTCCGCTGCTGCTGATTCGTCCGGTGGATTCGCACGACTTTAAGGAAAGCGGTCGGTGACGGGCTGGAAGGAGGTCATTGTTTTGCACGGTTGCAACGCCCAGCACATCATCGCGTTCTATGCGGTCCGACCAGGCGACGTGGCAATCTGTCATACCTCATTATTGGTTTGTTCGCCTTCTAAGGCACATTAGCTACCGCCTCGCGCCCTCCTGGTTCCCCTCCACCGGCCGCTCTCCTTCCTGACACTGGACAATGAATGCATAGACCATGTGTGCAGGGCATTGCTGAACAGCTCGTGCGCCGGACAGTTCTTATTGATTTACTCACATTGTCTGAACCGCTGTATGATAATCTTCCGCTGTCCATCGCCATAATGCATGAATATCCGTAATGTTTGGTCGGAATCATGTCGATGAAAAACATTCTCCCCTGTAGTATTGTGATATGCTGCTTGCTCCACGTGCCGTGCCGTGCCGTGCCTCTGCCGTGCCGTGTGCGCCGTGCCTCTGCCGTGCCGTGTGCGCCGTGTCTCTGCCTGTGCCGTGCCGTGCCTCTGCCGTGCCGTGTGCGCCGTGTCTCTGCCTCTGCCGTGCCGTGCCTCTGCCGTGCCGTGTGCGCCGTGTCTCTGCCTGTGCCGTGCCGTGCCTCTGCCGTGCCGTGTGCGCCTTGTCTCTGCCTCTGCCGTGCCGTGCCTCTGCCGTGCCGTGTGCGCCGTGAGCGGCCCGCCCAGCCGGGCCGCCTCAGCGCCGCCGCTGTCTTCGCGCCGGCAGACACGGACCCGGCCTGCGTGGTGGCCGACGCGTGCGCAGCACACCGCCCCTGTCGCAACGGCGCCACCTGCCGGCGCGGCCCGGCTCGCTTCAGCTGCCTGTGTCGGCCGGCCTGGGGCGGCCGGCTGTGTCAGGAGCCGCGGGACCCGTGCCCCCTGCAGCGGGACGTGTGCGGCGTCGGCTTCAACTGCACGCGCAGCGAGCCGAGCCCGGCCGGCTACAGCTGCCACTGCGGCGTCCGGCCCGGCTGGGCCAAGGTGTCCCGTGAGTCAGACGCTGGCTTGGAGCTGCTATCTGGGGCACCGCTCTGGCTGGCATGACAGGGGACTTTGCTACGTGCGCTGAAACTTAATGGATGGGTGGCTTTATCCAGATTCCGCCACCGGTGCTTCTTTCTCTCAGTCCCACGCCTGTCGAAAACGTTGCGGCATATTTGCCTAAACAGCGGAATGTTGGTGGATAGATGGATGGATGGATGGAGGAGGACGGGGGGTGGGGGGGGTCTTTGTGTGAACATGCGCATCTTCGGAACATTTCCTTCAAACTGCTGCCATTGGAAGCCATCCCATCCTACCGCGTCTGCCTTCCAGCCATCACACCCCGGTGCCACATCGATAACATCTGCCTGGCGAGCGACCCGTGCCGGAACGGCGGCACGTGCGTGTCGCGCGGCGGCACCACGTTCGAGTGTGCGTGCGCACCGGCGTGGCAGGGCGCTGTGTGCGCCGACGAGCGGGACCCGTGCTCGGCCGGCACCACACTCTGCCAGCGCGGCTTCCCCTGCGCCCGTGCTCCACTGAAGACTCTCGGCTACGCGTGCGACTGCAGCAGGCCCGGCTGGCGGCCACTGTCCGGTGGGTGACCACCTGGGCTCTTGAGACGTCAGAAGTTCGGAGCCGTTGGGTGCTGTGTTGCGTTTCTGTTCTGTCAGTATCGTGTTTTGCACATCACAGTGATAAATGTGACGGGTTTTCAGAGCGTCAAATGATGTGGGATCTCCATCCTTGAAAGCGTTGTCATCACACAGGTGTTTGCTGTGAGGTACGGACAGGTGCTTGCACCTGCCCGCACCGATGTAACATACGGGCATCACTGTGCCGTGTACCCTCGCCGCGCCCAGACCGCACGCACACGAGCCGTCCCGTTTCCAGACAGCAACCCGCGCTGCGTGGTGTCGGACGTGTGCCTGGCGCGCCGGCCGTGCCTCAACGGCGGCACGTGCTCGCCTCGAGATGGCGGCCTCTACACGTGCCGCTGCCCGCCGGCCTGGAGCGGCGCTACGTGCCGGCTGCCGCGCAACCCGTGCGCCAACGGCCAGTCGTGCGGACTGGGGTTCACGTGCCGCCGCGAGCCGGCCTCGCCAGCTGGCTTCGCCTGCGACTGCGGGCGCCGCCCCGGCTGGGCTTCCAAGTCTGGTGAGCAGACCCACCGGTGCGGTCGGTGAGCGCCGCTGCCCGCTGCGAATTTTAATGACGTTTATCGAGACCCCTAAGAATGCACATCTGAGGGGATCCCAGATGTCCCATCCGGGGAGGTTTGTTGTCGGAAGTTGAAGGATTCCGCGAGGGAGTCACGGCTCTCAGCCTATAATTAAACTGATCCGCAGGTCTTTGCAGACAGCGAAAATCACCGACTACTAAACAGCTTTGTTATTTTTTGCTATCAATGGCGTTGAATGAAGACTGGTGCAGAGCGTGTCCCGCCGCCACTGTGACGAGGAGAGCGGGCACGCCGCGCACTGCTGACGGCAGCCATGTGTCGGCCGCAGAGGACGAGCCCGGCTGCGTCATCGCCGACCACTGCATGGCCTCCACGCCGTGCCGGAACGGCGGCACGTGCCTGCCGGAGCCGGGCGGCTTCAACTGCTCGTGTGCGCCGGCCTGGTCCGGTGCCGACTGCGCGGCCGTCGCCGACCCGTGTGCGGCCGCCGGCGCCGGCGCGCTCTGCGGTGCCGGCGGCTGGAGCTGCCGCCGTGACCCGGACAGCCCGGCCGGCTACAACTGCTCCTGCCACGAGCGGCCCGGCTGGGCGGCCGTCTCCGGTCAGTGGTCGCCTGGCCCGGGGAGGGGTGCGGACGGGGCTGAAGCGTGGAGTGGCTCCGGTGTGGTCAGGCTTGCCACGGTTTTGACCCGGTACCCCAGGGCGTTGGTGAGAGGTGGCTGGCTGACAGTCACCCTCGAGTGGGCGATTACGCTGTCATACCATTGACGGACAATACGCCAAAAGCTTTGATGTAAGCATTTCGTTCTTGCGAAACAATCGATGCTGTTTAGTTTACCCCATCAACTTTCTCATCTCGTTTTTGCACGATCCACTGACGGCTCCTCCGTTCCTATATCCGGCGCCCCTCGGCGTTGACGACCTGCGTTCCGCCCGCCAGACGCAGAGCCGCGCTGCCACGTGGTGGACCCGTGCGTGGCACGGCGACCCTGCAAGAACAACGGCACGTGTAGTTGGAACAAGAGCGGCGTATCGTGCCGCTGCCACCCTGCCTGGCGCGGGGGCACCTGCGAGAAGCCAGCGGACCCTTGTGTGCACACACCGGCACTGTGAGTGCGCCGTCCGGAACCTGAGAGCCTGTGGGAGTCTGTGGGGGTCTGTGTGAATCTGTAGGAGTCTGTGGGAGTCTGTGGGAGTCGGCGCGGCGAGGTACCGGTGCTGCTTGAAGAGAGCGATGTTGGGGCATGTTCTCAGCCTATCAACGCGTTCAGGTGCCAAAAATGTCTCTGAGATGGGACAGGGAGGAGATGCTCTTTCTTTTGTATGTGGAGCTGTCCCCGCCTGGAGCGTCAAAGGTCTTTGCCTCGCGCCTGTATAATATACCTAGTTTCCAAGTAAAATATCATGGACTGGCCCATCTATGGTAAGATATGGTAACCAGGCACCCACTGCGCCTCACGATTTCCCCGTGATCGACCGCTCGGCGTGTTCGGTACTCGTGTCCTCGTGCGGCACCAGCCACTCCGCTCCTAGCCGTGACGTTCATGGCCGACAGCTGCGGCCGACGGTGGTCGTGTGCGCGCGACCCCGACTCGCCGGCCGGCTACAGCTGCGGCTGCAACGCCACCGCCGGCTACGCGGCCGTCTCGGCCACAGAGCCACGCTGTCGCGTCAGCGACATCTGCCGGGCGCAGCCGCCCTGCATGCACGGCGGCCAGTGCCGCGCTGCCGGCGCCGGCCTGGCGTTCAGCTGCCGCTGCGGCGCCGCCTGGCGCGGCGAGCGGTGCCAGCTGCAGCGGCAGCCCTGCCGCGAGGGCGGCGCCCGCGAGTGTGCGCCGTTCGCCTGCCGCCGCGAGCCGGCACGCCGGCGCGGCTTCCACTGCCTTTGCAACCGGCCCGGCTTTGGCAACGGCACCGGTGGGTACTCGGCCGCGCTGAAGGGCTCTTCGCTGGCGGGATGCTGATGTGCCCATCATTGTGGCACCGGTAGGTACTCGGCCGCGCTGAAGGACTCTTTGCTGGCGGGATGCTGATGTGCCCATCATTGTGGCACCGGTGGGTACTCGGCCGCGCTGAAGGACTCTTTGCTGGCGGGATGCTGATGTGCCCATCATTGTGGCACCGGTGGGTACTCGGCCGCGCTGAAGGACTCTTTGCTGGCGGGATGCTGATGTGCCCATCATTGTGGCACCGGTGGGTACTCGGCCGCGCTGAAGGGCTCTTTGCTGGCGGGATGCTGATGTGCCCATCATTGTGGCACCGGTGGGTACTCGGCCGCGCTGAAGGACTCTTTGCTGGCGGGATGCTGATGTGCCCATCATTGTGGCACCGGTGGGTACTCGGCCGCGCTGAAGGGCTCTGCTGGCGGGATGCTGATGTGCCCATCATTGTGGCACCGGTGGGTACTCGGCCGCGCTGAAGGGCTCTGCTGGCGGGATGCTGATGTGCCCATCATTGTGGCACCGGTGGGTACTCGGCCGCGCTGAAGGGCTCTTTGCTGGCGGGATGCTGATGTGCCCATCATTGTGCCTGATGCTTGCGCGTCCGAAAAATGGCTGTTAGATGTGCATGTATCGTGTTACATGACGTGCCACTTGAGCCTGTGCCTTACGTGTAACACAGATAGGAAATGTCGAAAAAAACGGGTGACGCCTTGACCGTGCCTGTCATGGCGACTCCCAGCTCCTGGCAAAGTGTATGACCATCGCACACAGTGCAAGAACGCCGAATACTCGCCTCACTCACTCCCGCCCCGCAGAGGAGAAGCCGGCCTGCGTCATCACGGACGTGTGCTTGGCACGGAGCCCTTGCCGAAACATGGGCAATTGCTCGGCGTCGGACGGCCGGGTCGTCTGCGCCTGCACGCCGGCCTGGCGCGGCGAGCACTGCGAGCTGCCGGCGCAGCCGTGCGCCGGCGGCGCCGACCGCTGCGGCGCCCATTTCCGCTGCCAGCGCGAGCCGGACGCGGCGGCCGGCTTCAGCTGCGGCTGCGAGCGCCGGCCCGGCTGGGCTGCCGCCTCCGGTGAGACGGCGGCACCGGCGGGCGGCGCCGCGCCGTGCCGCCGGGCGACGCGCTGACCTGACGAGACACGACGACCCGACGCGTGCGAATCCACCCGACTGCCTGTGCGTCTCGCCCGGTGTGTCTGTGTGTGCGCGTGCGTAGGGTGGTGTCGCGGCAGGGCTCGGCTGACGACCGGCGCGGCCCGTGCTGACAGAGAGCGATCCGCGCTGCGTGGTCCGCCGGGCGTGTCTGGCGCTCAGTCCCTGCAAGAACAGCGGCACGTGCAGCGACGCCGCGGACGGCGGCTGGCGCTGCGCCTGCCCGCCCGCCTGGCAGGGCGAGAAGTGCCGTGAGCCCCGCGACCCGTGCCTGCAGAAGCCGTCGCCCTGCGGCGACGCCCGCTGGGGCTGTAAACGCGACGCGGACTCAGGCGCTGGCTACTCCTGCGACTGCAACCTGAAGGGCTGGGGCTCCAAGGGAGGTACGGCCGCTGCACTTGGACTCGATCGCTGTCATGCTCGTCTTGTTTTGGACTGCGCTGGTGTACAAATTTTGTATAATCATCGTCCAGTGTTGTAAAACCATCCAATCGATGATCAGTGTAAAGATTTGACAAAACATGAACACAAAAACACACTTGTGTCAGTGGCAGGTTGATGACTACAAACGTGTAAAGAATGGGTGCGACTCCAAAAAGAGAACGCCACGACCTTCGAGTTTCACGTTATGAACGGTACTCTTAACTGAGATCGACTTGTCCGCCTAACCTTGCCCTCCGTTGGCAGTCTCGCAGCCGCGGTGTGTGGTGGTGGACGAGTGCTTGGCGCGGAACCCGTGCCGCAACGGAGGCACGTGCACGGGCGGCGCTGGCGGGCTGCCGGCGCGCTGCCAGTGCACGCTGGCCTGGACGGGCAGCACGTGTCGGCGGCCGCGCGACCCCTGCCGCCAGTCGTTCTGCGGCCAGCCGTGGCAGTGCGCCCGCGACCCGCTCTCGCCGGCTGGCTACAGCTGCGGCTGCGACTCCAGACCCGGCTACAAGGTCGTGTCAGGTCAGGTCAGCTGACCGCTCAGCGGCTCGCCCGCGCGCCCGGCGCTGATTGGCGCTGGCCGACCGCTCCGGACCTGATCACAGAGGATCTCTAGGCAGCGTTGTGTTTCGTTGCCAGCTGTGTTACACCCGCGGCTCTTTTGCGTTCGACGTGATATTTATGACATGATGCCTTCTTACCTACGTGGGCATCCCGTCTGACCGAGCGCCACTGCCGCCACCGGCAGCCCGTGACCCGCGCTGCACCGTGTCGGATGCGTGTCTGGTGCAGCGGCCGTGTCGCCACGGCGGCGTCTGCTCGCCGGGCGCCGGCATCTCCTTCTCCTGCCGCTGCTCGGCCGCCTGGAGCGGGTCCCGCTGCCAGGCGCCGCGCGACCCGTGCCAGGGCGCACAGCCGTGCGGCCCCGGCTGGCCGTGCTCCCGCGACCCGACCACGCGCGCCGGCTACAGCTGCGGCTGTGAGGCACGGCCCGGTTACCACCCCACCTCAGGTGCGTGGGTTAGGGCACATTACCACCCTCCCTCAGGTGTGTGGGTCTGGGCAGGTTACCACCTCACCTCAGGTGCGTGGGTCTGGGCAGGTTACCACCCCACATCAGGTGTGTGGGTCTGGGCAGGTTACCACCCTACCTCAGGCGCGTGGCTCTGGGCAGGTTACCACCCCACCTCAGGTGTGTGGGTCTGGGCGGGTTACCACCCCACCTCAGGTGTGTGGGTCTGGGCGGGTTACCACCCCACCTCAGGTGTGTGGGTCTGGGCAGGTTACCACCCCACCTCAGGCGCGTGGCTCTGGGCAGGTTACCACCCCACCTCAGGTGTGTGGATCTTGGCAGGTTCCAGTTCCCCTCCGTTACGTGGTTTCGGTCATGCTCATAGTCTGGACCCGACACGCAGCTAAACTTTATTACCGAAATTGGATACGTTTTCACTTCGACAGCACGCTGTTTTCGGCGATCACTTGCCGGTGTGAGAAAGCTGCTTCCACCTGCACGGCTCTTGCGGGGGGCAGCCGCAGCCCACTCCCTCACGTCATCGCCACGCCCCCCTCAGAGGAGAACCCCAGCTGCCGCATATCGGACGTGTGTCTGGCCAAGAAGCCGTGTCAGAACGGCGCCACCTGCCAGCCGGGCGAGGGCGCGCAGTTCACGTGCGCGTGCCGGCCTGCCTGGAGCGGCACGCTGTGCGCCACGGTGCGCGACCCGTGCGCGGACGGCGGTGACGTGTGCGGCGCCGGCTGGAACTGCAGCCGTGACGCTACGGCCGCTGCCGGCCTCAGCTGCGGCTGCGGCGAACGGCCCGGCTGGGGCGCCAAGTCCGGTAAGGCCCCGCCGCTGGTCTGCCCCACTCGCGGCCGGGATAGCGTCATTCAGTGCGTAATCAGCATGGCTGGTGTGGAGAAAAGATTCTCTTTGTGTTTCGGGAGTGCATTTTATTCACCAAAAACCGCTGTGCTTATTCTGATGATAGCTTATAGTGACGGTAGCTGCGGGGAATGATTCGCTGACTTGAACGGTAACGGTAGAGAGCAGTGTTGTTTAGGCAGACTATAGTAATCAAGCTGACGGCAACTTGCTTCACTTCGCATCGAAGTTCCCCGCCCCCCCCCCCCCCCCTCTCTCTCTGTCTCTGTGACCGTATGCCCTTCTTGCTCAAGCTACGGACGCGTTCGTTAGATTATCGCACTTGTTGCTGTCCCTTCAGCCAAAAATCCGACCTGCGTCATCACGGACATTTGTTTGGCGCGGACCGCCTGCAAGAACGGCGGCACGTGCCACTCCACGGGCGGCGGCGACCAGTTCCGCTGCACGTGCCCGCCGACCTGGCGCGGCGCCACGTGCGCCGAGGAGCGCGACCCGTGCGCGCAGGGCAGCCCTTGCGGCAGGTTCAGCTGCCAGCGAGACGCCAACAGCACTGGGCCGGGCTACCGGTGCAGCTGCGAGGAGAGGCCCGGCTACCGGCCGGCCTCGCGTGAGTGCGCAGATGCAGCGGGATGTTGTCAGGGTCGTCACACAGTCAGCTGGTGGCACCGTCCTTATCTCTCCGCCCTTTTATAAGCTAGGAATTATAGCCTCGCAGAGATGCAATCACTTAGCATGATTATGAAACTAATGCGCTGTAGTCTCGTAATTGGCTGTCGCTTCTTGATATCATCCTGTTTCAAGAAATGATTTCTCGGAGTTCATCAACAGTTTCTGAGCCGGCCTTCACCGCACCATGCAGCGTTTGTTGCCTGCCGCGATGCTGGTCGATCCGCGCTTGCTTCCTACCCCGAGCCGACACCGTTGCGCTGACCTCGGGCCGTCGCATTCCAGCCACCAACCGGACGTGCGTGCTGTGGAACGTCTGCGCCATCCGCAACCACTGCCACAACGGCGGCGTGTGCTCGCCGGCGGCCGGCGCGCGCTTCCGCTGCCGCTGCCCGCCGGCGTGGCGCGGCTCGCGCTGCCACCTGCCGGCCGACCCGTGCACCGGCGGCGGCGCCCGCCTCTGCGGCTCGTTCCAGTGCTCGCGCGAACCCAGCGCCGCCGTCGGCTACACGTGCAACTGCGAGAAGACGCCTGGGTACCGGGCTGAGTCTGCCGAGCGGCCCGGCTGCGTGGTTACCGACGCGTGCCTGGCGCGCCGGCCCTGCCAGCACGGCGGCGCGTGCAGCCCCACCGAGGCCGGCGCCGGCTTCCGCTGCACGTGCCCGCCGGCCTGGGGCGGCGACACGTGCGGGGACGTGGTGGACCCGTGCCGGAACGCCTCGGCGACGGCGTGCGGTCGCAACTGGCGATGCTCACGCGATCCGGCCAGCCCAGTCGGTTACAACTGCGGCTGCGACGCCTACCCCGGCTGGAACGCCACGGCACGTGAGTGGCGCGGCTTCTGGTGAGGACTGGGGGAGGGGGGGGGGGCGGAGGTCAGTGACATGACATAGGTAAAAGGCCCTCTGAATGAGGCGGCAGCGACCTCGCATAGGCCAGAGCTATCTTGGCAAGCATCGGCAGCAGCAGTCTAGCAGGTGCTCTTACAACAATCGTCTGCTGTGGTCGTCGTCGAATGCGTTCGGGTGATCGCCGCGCCCTCACCTCCACCCGTCGCTCCCGCCGCAGCTGACATGCCCAAGTGCGCCGTGTCCAACATCTGCCTGGCTGCGCGCGACGTGTGCCACCACGGCGGCACGTGCAGCAGCCTGGGGGGCCGCCACTACCGCTGCGACTGCGCGCCGGCCTGGCGGGGGCGGCGCTGCTCGTCGCCGACCGACCCGTGCGCCGAGGACGGAATGGCGCGGCCGTGCGGCCCCGGCTGGCGCTGCCAGCGCGCGCCCCACCGCCAGCTCGGCTACAACTGCAGCTGCGACACCAAGCCCGGCTGGCGCGCCAAGTCCAGTGAGTCGGCTCTGTGGGGGAGGGGGCAGGACGAGGCGTGGCGGGCGGCGGGCGGCCGCGGAAGAGGAGAGCCTAACACTGTTTGATGCCGAGTTGATTATGGAGCAGTTAGTGGAAACCTCGCTGTGTAATATATGAACACCAGCTTCGAATCGTGTGCTTTAACTGCCTTGGTATGCCGCACCCTGCATTTGTAAGTTGTGCTGAAAAATGCTTGCAGCCCGCGTGTGCTGTCCATAACTCGACCTAACCCAGATAGCGCGGTGACGCACGCTCTGGCTCTTGAGACGTTCCCTTTGTTTAGCTGAGATCATCACCACACTCAGCATGCGCTGTGCGATCGTGCGCAGCCCCTGCCTGGCCCTCGCGTCTCCGATACCACGACCGCTTGCTCCTGCCCCGCCTGCTCGTGTCGCCTCCCAGAGAGCGACCCGCGCTGCGTGGTGTACGACCGCTGCCTGGCCGACCGGCCGTGCCTGAACGGCGGCTCCTGCTCGCCGCGCCGCTCCGGCTTCGCGTGCGCCTGCCGGCCGGCCTGGTCGGGCGCCGTGTGCGCCGACGCGCGCGACCCGTGCGACGCCGAGGAGCAGATGTGCGGCCGGGAGTGGCGCTGCGAGCGCGACCCGTCCGTCGCCATCGGCTTCAGCTGCGGCTGCACCAGCAAGCCCGGCTGGCGGCCGGCTAGCGGTGAGAGGCCGCATGGTGTGCCCGGCTGCCGGGGAGGACCGGCCGGCCGGCTTCCGGGCTCGGGACTGGCTTGCGTGTGCTGCGGCGATGGACACGTTTTGTGGTACGTCTCAGTGACGTGTGGCGTCTGTTTTGTGTCAGTTTACCCGTGCGTGATTGGGTGAACAGGATCAGCCTGTTAAGCACTGCTATGATCACGGCTAACAGCAATACAATTACCTGCGTGTATGCTTGGAGTTAAAAGCCACATGCATGTCGTCATGAAATTGACATGGCAGCTGTTGAGACCTGTCCAACTATCGGCAGCCAGCGACCCGCGCTGCCAGATTTCGGACGTGTGCCTGGCCCAGTCTCCCTGTCAGAACGGCGGCACCTGCACCTACCACGGCGAGGGAAACTACACGTGCAGGTCAGACCTGGTCGCCGTTCCTAGTGCGAGAAGCCGCTACCAGTCAAACATCCAGCAACACAATGTCTGGTGCGTTATCAAGGTCAAGGTCATGTTTCAAGATGAATATGTACTTGCATGGATACATATATACAGCCTGGGAGCGCTGTAATTAAGGTCTGTATTGGGTTGCTAAGCAAAAGCAATAGCTTCAAAAGCTTCTCCGATACTAAACCGGATTCCATGAGCTCTCATTCTTGGGCGACCACGCGTGTTTGGATATAGCCACAAGCCCTCACGGGGCGGCGTCTACCGCGGCCGTGCCGGGCGAATGACGAGTGGGACAAAGCTGCGGAGCCGTCGCTGACTGAGGCTCATGCGGCCGGTGTGCGGCAGCTGCTCGCCGGCCTGGGTCGGTCGCGACTGCACCAGCCCGCAGTTCCCGTGCGCCGAGCAGCCGAACCCGTGCGGCGGCGACTGGCCGTGCCAGCGAGATCCGGACTCAGCAGCCGGCCTCACCTGCTCCTGCCACACGCGGCCCGGCTACGTGGCTAAGTCAGGTCAGACACTGGCGGCCGCGCCGCCATGTCGGCGGCAGGGGCAGCGGCGGAACTGCCGATCACGCCGCGCCTCCGTGTGCGGCGTCCTGAACACGTCCTGCTCCGCGTCCTGCGTCCTGAACGCGTCCTGCTCCGTGTCCTTCGTAGCCTGCGTCCGGTAGAAATGTTTGTCCATCGTGCCATCAGACCTGGCGCGGGTTTTTCGGACCGTGGCGTCCTCTTCGGACACGCCTGGCTGGAGCCGACCTAATGCAGTCAGCCCAGTCAGCCCGCGTTGCCCGGCTGCTGACGGGGGCCGCACGCTTGACCGCCGCGACCGCGCCCGGCAGACAAGGAGCCGCAGTGCGTCGTCAGCGACGTGTGCCAGGCCACGTCGCCCTGCAAGAACGGCGGCACGTGCCACCTGAAGGGCGACGGTCGCCAGTACGGCTGTGAGTGCCTGCCGGCCTGGGCGGGCGCCGACTGCGAGCGCGAGGAGAGCCCGTGCGACCGCGACCCGCACCTGTGCGGCGGCGGCTGGCAGTGCGGCCGCAACCCCAACAAGCCAGTCGGCTACACGTGCGGCTGCAACTCCAAGCCCGGCTGGCGCGCCATCTCCGGTGAGGCTGTCGCCGCGGCTGGTACGGAGGCGTGCGCATCGTCTGGGTCAATCCGTCTGCGTTGTAGCTGGTGCCTGCTGTGAGACGGGGCGTGCCGCAGCCCACAGCCATCGTCGTGCATGGTGCTGAGCGAGACTGGAGCAGATAGCGCCCTGTGCCATGACACACAGTGGCCGTTCGCTGACTATTATCGCTGACTTTTCGCTGTCATGGCGCCTATACACCACATTCTGAGTGCAGAACGGCGGATTGTCACGAGCCGGTGCTACCAGTGCCACCGTCGCTCTGACCGCAGATACGGACCCGCGCTGCGAGGTCAGCGACGTGTGCCTGGCGACGCGGCCGTGCCAGAACTCTGGCGTCTGCAGCACGCGCGCCGACCGCGGCTACAGCTGCCAGTGCGCGCCGGCCTGGCGCGGTCAGAACTGCAGCCGCACGGCCGACCCGTGCACCGCTGACGGGGTTGGTCCACCAACGCGGCCGGCTGGCCGGGGCGGCCGCGCGGCCGGGCGGCGCGCCGGCCGGCTGTGCCGGGACGAGGCCGCGCGGCATGAGGAGCAGCGAGCGGTTCGGGGCGCGGCGGTGGCCGATACGCGCGCTTTGGTTTCTGGTTTCGCCGTGGCATGCCGAGGGTTGCGATGCCAGTGGATGGCTCGGCGCACACTGCAGTCTTCGAAATGGGACAGAATCGAAGTGACACAGGACGGTTATCTTGCCCGAAACACTGGATTATACTCTAAAGACCTTTTGCGAGACATTATGACTATTTCATTGATGCACGTCCAATATCTTGACGCTTGATGCGACACAGGACCTTTGTTAGCGTGAAAGACACACACTCTAGAAGTGGGGCGACCACGGCTCTGGTCAGACGTCAAGCCAGTGCGAGCGAAGCTGGTATTGCCTGAGAAATCGCTTAACGTGGACCGCCGAGACATGACCACGCTGTCGATCGGCCGGTTCACTGCTGCCGATGGGCCGTGCCGGACCGCCGGGAGGACCGCTGTGTAACACATGCTGTCTGCCGGCGACAGGTGGACTGCGGCAAGGGGTTTCAGTGCTCCAGGAACACCTCGTCCCCTGTCGGCTACAGCTGCAACTGCGCCAGCAAGCCGGGCTGGAGACAACACTCGGGTAGGCGCACTCCGGGGCTGCCGAGCGGCGGCGGCTCGCTGCGTCAGGGCCAGCTGACATCGATTCAGGCGGACTGCGAACGCAGCCGGTGATGCTCCACTGAAACGACACTGCAATCCGACCGTCCTTTAATGCTGGCCCATCATTCGCATTTCTGCCGGACACGACATCCAAACCCGTCGCTGGTCCTTTGAGAGCGGTGCCAGACCGTTATGATGCCTGTGAACCACCAGCCTCGTGTTGAGCGCGTGCCATGCGAGTGTTCTACATCAACACGGTGCTGAGCTTTCACGACGCCTGCTGTTGCCACGGCTGCGCTCCAGCCCCTTTGAACGGTGCAATTTCCGTGCCTGGGCTATCACGTCAGCTCTGCTCTGGCTGCTGTGCTACAATGTGGTCCCGTACTCTGAGCTGAGGGACTGGCAGTGTTTCAGCTCTGCTCTGTCCGCTGTGTTTAATGTGTTTCAGCTCTGCGCTTGTTTCGCCGCGTTTGCGGTGTTTCAGCTCTGCGCTGTCCGCCGTGTTTAAGATGTTTTAGCCATGCTCTGTCCGCCATGATCGCGATGCTTCAGCTCTGCTCTGCCCGCCGTGTTTCAGCGCAGTCTCCGCGCTGTGTACTGTACGACGCCTGTCTGGCTGGCCAGCCGTGTGAGAACGGCGCCCCCTGCACTCCGGCTCCGGCCGGCGGCTTCACCTGCAAGTGCGGTGCCGCCTGGTCCGGCCCGGCCTGCAACGAGCCCAGGGACGTCTGCCAGACCGGCGATGGCGTTAGTAGCATTGGCGGGAGCGCTGCCGTGCGCTTTACGGAGCTAGTTCCGGCGCGTGGCGGGCATTGGAATCAGGTCCAGGACCTGAATCCTCGTGTGCGTGCGATAACATCTTCAATGGGTGGAATGTAGATACGGCCTTTTTGGGTGTCAATATAGATTAGCTGGACATAACTACCTTTGGATCATCCTTACGTATGCGAGCAGATGTAAAGCACGTTTCCGTTGTGGCTGAGATGATTGAGAGCCACGCTGCCTGTGGTGGACTCGTTCGCCTGTGCGGCGTGACGCGAGTCTGGTATACCACGCGCGCCCGCTGTGCCTAAAGGGCTGAGATTAGGGGCGTGCTGGTGACGCCTGCTGACCAGCCCCAGCGGTGTGTCGCAGCGCTCTTCGTGCGGCGCCGAGTGGACCTGTGAACTGTGCCTGTAGGGCTGATATTAGGGGCGTGCTGGTGACGCCTGCTGACCTGCCCCTGCGATGTGTCGCAGCGCTCTTTGTGCGGCGCCGAGTGGACCTGCGAACGAGACACCAGCCGGCCGGCCGGCTACAGCTGCGGCTGCCACAAGAAGCCCGGCTGGAAGACCGTCTCAGGTGGGTTCGCCGGATCACTGGCCCCACCGGCGGGCGCTAGTGCCTCGATGGTGCGCTGCCAGGCGGTGCCTCGAGCTACTTTGGTTTTTTGTGGGTTAGCTCGGCAGGCCTGTTTTGGTTTTATCGGTTTCATTTCGCTTTGGTGAGAAGCACTTCTCTTCCTTCCAATTATTTCAGAGCAGTTGCTGAGTGCGGAATTCGTTCGTAAGACGTCGGGACAACGCGGCCTTACATAGGTTGCCTCCACTTGACTGTCACGTAAATGGACTAACTGACAGAGCAGTAAAAACACAGCAGGTAACAGCCACGAAGCCAATAGCCATCCGCTTGGAGGACAGGTAGGCATGTCATTTTGCGTATGTGTTACAACTCTGGCCGCCCTCGTCACCAGCCGTACCTCAGCCTGTCGGGGGACACTCGAGCCGCGCCTCGGCCCGTCGGGGGACACTCGAGCGGCTCCTCGGCCCGTCGGGAGACACTCGAGCCGCTCCTCGGCCCGTCGGGGGACACTCGAGCGGCTCCTCGGCCCGTCGGGAGACACTCGAGCCGCTCCTCGGCCCGTCGGGAGACACTTGAGCCGCACCTCGGCCCGTCGGGGGACACTCGAGCCGCACCACGGTCCGTCAGGAGACACTCGAGTCGCGCCTCGGCCCGTCGGGAGACACTCAAGCCGCACCTCGGCCCGTCGGGAGACACTCGAGTCGCGCCTCGGCCCGTCGGGAGACACTCGAGCCGCGCCTCGGCCCGTCGGGAGACACTCGAGCCGCGCCTCGGCCCGTCGGGAGACACTTGAGCCGCACCTCGGCCCGTCGGGGGGGGGGCACTCGAGCCGCACCACGGTCCGTCAGGAGACACTCGAGCCGCGCTCTCCTCTCGCCGGCAGCCAGCGAGCCACAGTGCGAGGTAGCCGACCCGTGCGTGGCACTGCAGCCCTGCCGCAACGGTGCCACTTGCCTGGCCACGGCCAGCGACGCGTACCGCTGCTCGTGCCCGCCGGCCTGGACAGGCGCCGCCTGCGACCAGCCGCTGGATCCGTGCACGGCGGCGCCCTGCGGTGACGGCTTCCAGTGCCAGCGCGACCCAACCGCGCCGGCCGGCTTCGTCTGCAGCTGCGACGCCAAGCCCGGCTGGGACGCCCGAGCCCGTAAGTTGACTGCCGGGGCGCCGGGACGCCGGCGGTTCTCACATGAGTGCCTTTGTTTAGCGCCGTGTGTTGTCTCGCTTTTACGGAACGGCCACTGCGTGCCCGGTGAGCAGGAGCGTAATTTCGCAAAATGAGTTGAGAGCATGAACAGCGAAAAATGGGAGATCCAGCCCTCCCCCTCCCGGCCTCTCTCAATGCACCAAAGACCAGTTTCTCCACGGATTTGGTCCACTTTCTTTTCAAGCTTCAAAGATTCGAGATCCCCCTCCGTGTCTGACGTCACCACTGCGCCTCCCTGCCGGCAGCGGACGACCCGCGCTGCGTGGTGCGGGACCAGTGCCTGGCCTCCAGCCCGTGCCAGAACGGCGGTACCTGCCTGCAGGGCACGGCGCGCGAGTTCCAGTGCAACTGCGCGCGCGCCTGGGGCGGCGCCCGGTGCGATCAGCCGCGCGACCCGTGCGAGTCGCAGCAGACAGTGTGCGGCGTGGGGAGGACCTGTACGCGTGACGCCGGTTCGCCGGCCGGCTACAGCTGCAACTGCCACACCACGCCCGGCTGGCGGGCTAGCTCCGGTGAGCAGTGCAGCAGAACGCCAGGCGGCCTTGGTCGGTCCGACCGGCGGGCGAGTGAGCTCAGGCCCGCGGAGCAACGGCGCGGACGTCTCCGCCGGTGTGTGTGCGTGGGCGGCCGTGTAATGCGCGGGCTGGAACGGTCGTGGGCGCCTGTCGTTGGAGGGGCTTCGGAGGTCACCACCTCCGACAGCGCACATTGCCTCCGCCGGCAGCGGAGGACCCCACCTGCGTAGTGGACGACATCTGTCTGGCGCGCGCGCCCTGCCTTAACGACGGTGCCTGCACGAGCCTGAAGGACGGCCGCTTCCAGTGCACGTGTCGCGGCCTCTGGAAGGGCGCCACGTGCGCTGAGCCGCGCCACCCGTGCCGCGAGCGCGCGCGCTGTGGCCGCCTTTTCACGTGCCAGCTGGCGCCGCACTCGCTGGCCGGCTACACGTGCAGCTGCGATGCCGTGCCCGGCTACTCGGCCAAGTCGGGTCAGTGCCAGCCGCCGGCCCATTGCGCATATCTTGACCTCTGTATGTCTGACGTCATTTGTGTGGCTCTATGTGCTGGATGCAAGATAGTTGTGTGCATTGATTGTCGCGTTACTCGGCGATAACCCGACTTTGTTCCCGATGCCTTTCTGTGCGTTGTTTTGCGGCATACAGCTTTCTGAACATGCAAATGATCTGGCAAGCAGACACATTAAAAAACCGTTAACCCCGTAGATATTCGTTAACCTCTTCTTCCTCAAGGATTAGTTGTCCGTGGTAGGAGGTAACTGACGAGCCTCAATGAATTTCAGAGTTCAACTTGAAGTGTGACGGGACGGGTGATAAACCATGCGTACCAGAATCTGAACTACAACGTGACTTGAAATGTTTCCGTATGTTCTAAGGTCTTAAACCCTTTCGTGACGTAACTGACGTTCATGAACATCCTACTTGATCCGACCCCCGTCATTCTTGTACCAAGACTACGATGCTCATGTTCCAGCCTGTCCACGTGTGTTCCAGAGGCTGACCCGCGGTGTGAGGTGACGGACGTGTGCCTGCAGCGCTCGCCCTGCCAGAACGGCGGCTCCTGCGAGAGCCTGCCCGGTCTGAGGTACAGGTGCGCCTGCCCGCCCGCCTGGAAGGTAGGTGACAGCTCGCTGTTCAAGGCCCGTTGTTAGGCGAACCAGCTTAGTCAACCATCTCAGGAAAGCATGGGATGATGACGTGAGCGAAGTCCCAAACATGTGGCCTGCCTTCTGGTGACAGTTGCGAAAAATACAACAAAAATGCTGCGAGAACATGTTTGTAAGGGCGTATTTTGCCTGGACGCCAGCCCCGCGATAGATGTCGCTGACTTCGCCAGTGGTCTGTTCACCGTCTTTCCCTGAAATCCATCGTTTTGTGGTTTGGGACAAAATCCATAGCTCAGGTGCTTGGAGGAGCCGACTCCCCCTGTCCCGTAGTTCCCCGTATCAGCAACCATGCGCCGCGAGCTTCCGTCGCTCCCCCGCAGGGCGACAACTGCCAGACGCCGGCCAGTCCGTGCGAGAGCCCGGTGGAGCTGTGCGCCGGCGCCGTCGGCACCTGCCAGAGGAATCCCAACAGCCCGCTCGGTTTCTCCTGTGGCTGCGGCCAGACGCCCGGCTGGGAGGCCAGCTCAGGTCAGTCAGACGCTCTGGCTGGGAGGCCAGCCTTGGTTAGTCGCCGCTCCGGGTGAGAGGCCAGCTCTGGTCAGCCAGACGCTCTGACTGGGAGACCAGCTCAGGTCAGCCAGACGCTCTGGCTGGGAGGCCAGCTCAGGTCAGTCAGACGCTCTGGCTGGGAGGCCAGCTCAGGTCAGCCAGACGCTCCGGCTGGGAGACCAGCTCAGGTCAGCCAAACACTCCGGCTGGGAGACCAGCGCAGGTCAGCCAGACGCTCCAGCTGGGAGACCAGCTCAGGTCAGCTCAGACGCTCCGGCTGGGAGACCAGCTCAGGTCAGTCAGACGCTCTGGCTGGGAGGCCAGCTCAGGTCAGCCAGACGCTCTGGCTGGGAGGCCAGCCCTGGTCAGTCGCCGCTCCGGGTGAGAGGCCAGCTCAGGTCAGCCAGACGCTCTGGCTGGGAGACCAGCTCAGGTCAGCCAGACGCTCCGGCTGGGAGACCAGCTCAGGTCAGCCAAACGCTCCGGCTGGGAGACCAGCTCAGGTCAGCCAGACGTTCCGGCTGGGAGACCAACTCAGGTCACCCAGACGCTCCGGCTGGTTTCCGTGACGTTTAAGTGGTTTCGTGTTTCTGGCCGGGCCGGGCGAGGCTGACTGCCGTCCCAATGGGGATAGCCACGGGCGGTTTTTTTGGCGAAATGTAGTTCTTCACTTATGATCCGTTTTCACAATGTACTGTCCTATGATAATGACTGACTACAAATGTGTTCCAACATTCTACGATACTTCAAAAATGCTCTGAATCTTTACAAGTTCCGCCCGAGCGAGCTGGTCCCCGGTCCCCCACCACACAGTATCCGGGGCAGGGCGTGACCGCGTGGGCTATCTCCTCAGATGACGATCCGCACTGCGTCCTGGCCGACGAGTGTCTCGCCAATGACCCGTGCAAGAACGGCGCCACGTGCACGGCGCAGCCACGAGCCGGCTACACGTGCTCGTGCCAGCCAGCGTGGACGGGTGCCACGTGCGAGGAACCCAGCAGCCCGTGTGAATCTGGCAGCGACCTGGTACGGCACGGCTGGAGCGTTACTATCCTCTCAGTTTTGTTCTGTCGTGATTCTGGAGCGCCGCGCTTTACAACCGTGCGATATTCGGTCCGCATTAATGGCGCTGTGCGGTATGTCCTTCATAGCATGGCTATGGGACTTCTTGTCGCCAGTGCTTCTGGTAAATTTTCACGGACCGAGCTGTGCTGCCTTTCATTCCGTCACAGCTTGTCACATTTTTGGGAGGTTGAGGGGTTGGGGAGGCCGTCGCCCGGCGCCCACCGTGCTTCCAACCGTGCTCTATGAAGGTTTTGAAGGCGCTGTTGTTGTTTTCAGTGCGGTGCCGAGTTCGCGTGCGCGCGAGATGCAGAGTCGGCACTGGGCTACAGCTGCGGGTGTGAGGCTCGGCCCGGCTACCGGGCGACGTCAGGTGGGTGTGGCCCGGCTACCGGACGGCGTCAGGTGGGTGTGGCCCGGCTACCGGGAGACGTCATGTGGGTGTGGTCCGGCTACCGGGCGGCGTCAGGTGGGTGTGGCCCGGCTACCGGGCGGCGTCAGGTGGGTGTGGCCCGGCTACCGGGCGCGTCAGGTG